GGAGGTTCCTCAGGGTTCTCAGTGCTCAGTTCCCCGGGGCGTCTTTGAGCGCTTTGCATCTCAACACATGTGTTTTAAGGGCATCCCCCAGTGGCAGCTGTCCCCTGGCCTGCAAACGGGAATTAGTCTGCCAGTAATGGGGAATGGTGGGGGGGGGGGCGCATGCTTGCTGCTAAAATCCCAATTGAGCACACTTCACCATATTGGTCAGCGCGGATTGATGTGGGAACATAGAAATAGTGCGGTACAGCAACGTTTTTTGATGCACTTGCTTTCTGCTCCCCTTACAATGTAGCGCCACATCCTATAACAGCTGTCATGCGCGGCGGTGGCCCAGCCAAGCACGATCTGCCACTATTCGTTCCTAATTGATCTCGTCAACGAGCGTAAACCATTACGCGACCTCCGGTCATCGTCGCAGCAGCGACTTTTGGCTCGCCACCGAACAAAGACGGTCACCCGCATCGCGCGTTTTCAGATGCGCTTTTGCGGCCGGCTGGAACGCTCTTCCTTCCCATATTAGCAAGCCACTGGAGCTATGCAATTTAAAATCCAGAGTGAAAACTAATTTCTTTAGAAATGCTTTTTGTGTTTAGTTTGTTGTCTTTCCTCCGCACGGTTGGCATCATCAGCCACGGCCAATCCACTGCCAGATGAAGGCCTTCTGCCACCGCCGCTACACCTCTCATGGATCCCTGCGATGGGAAATTCCACCTCTCATAATTCGCCCACGTAGCTCTGCTCCCAATGTGTAACGTCCTTCAACAGTCTCTTCTGCATTGACAATTCTGCCGGTGTTGACTCTTGTCTCCTCTGCATGGAATTCCGAGTATTCCACCCATGCTTGTGAACTCTCTGCCCCTGCTCAAGTCCAGGCTCAAGAGATTATTCAGTTTCTTGCTGTGCCCGCCCCCCCATCTCTCTCTATAAACACGGCCCCTGTCTCTGTACAGCGTCTTGAGAAGCAGTTGTATTTAAATACCGGTATATGAATCCACAACGAACCACAGACTCACACAGACACCCATATACTCGCACAGAAAGCCACAGACTGGCACAGTGGCTCCACAGGCTCACGCTGATACCAACAGTCTAACATTGAGTCTGAGCATCGGCGTGGGGAGCAGAGCTCGTATTGCAAGGTCAGCAGGAGCTTTTACCGCACTGCCCTCTGCTGTGCACAATGAAGGTCCGCTGTGAGCGCGTCGTTAATTAATTTATACTGCTTCTGAGCACAGCCCCTCCCCCAAAAAACGTCAAGTGGTCAGCAACAACCAGCACCCTCAAAGTTGTAATAGCCAAGGGTTAACACGTTGTTGGATTGAGCAATAATGTTGTTGTTTTTATCATCGTAAGAACTTGGGGAAATCGTGAGATGGGCGGGAATTCCAAGGTGCAGCAATGCGAGCGAAGAAGTGGAATTGTTGTGACCTGCAGTCTGGTGGGTGAGTGAATGGGTCGGTGAGTGAATGGGTGAGTTAGTGAATGGGTGGGTGAGTGGGTTGTTGTGACCTGCAGTCTGGTGGGTGAGTGAATGGGTGGGTGAGTGAGTGAATGAGTGAGTGGGTGGGTGCATGAGTTAGTGAATGGGTGAGTGTGTTGTTGTGACCTGAGGTGTGGTGAGTGAGTGAATGAGCGGTCTCTAAACACCCCTGTTTGGTCATCACAAGTATGCACGCCATGTTGAACTTCTTTCGCACCATACGTAGCCGGCCGTGCTAATCGAAGGACATCAAACTAAACACAACGAATACCGCCGATTCGTCGGCAGCCGCATGGCAATTCTCTTCCCTCCACGACACGGGGTCGCGATTCCGCTTAAGAATACGAACACAACAAATGTCGTGATTTTTCCTTTTAATTTTCAATTGTTTATCTCGCGTGTGAAGTTTGGTTTGCCTAAATGAAACGTTCAGCATAACACATTCCTGCGGAGGGAGCTGGTAAGAACGTTGGGTTGCTCGGTCAATGGCCAGGGTCAACGGCGGCGTGGTGTATTCCGCAAATATGCCCGACTGTGATGGCGGGCACAAGCAGGCGTGAGTAGGTTAAACGTTGAGTTTTATAAAGGCACCACAGGGTGACCAGCCCCTTCCCACCCAGTCCCACTCCTGCCACCCCCCACCCAGCCCCACCCACCCCACCCAGCCCCTCCCCACCCTCTCCACCCAGCCCCACCCCTCCCATTTTTGGATGCACGACGGACGGACGGACACAATAATCCCCTGTGGGCTGGTGTAACCAGGAGGTTCCTACCAGTATAATACCCAGAATTTCACATATACAGTTAAATACAAATATCTCCCGTATAGCCTGAACAAACTGTTGGGGCAAGTGCTGTTAGCGAGTGGCACCTATGAAGGCCGGCACGGCACACGAGAGGGGGTGGGTGGCCAGCACCACGCCCGGCCGCCTTTGTCTCCCCAGTGGCGATGTTTACTACGCACCGCACCAGGTACTCACATACATACGAACATCCGCGCACCTTCTCGATGTCGAAGTTGGCCACGGTTGTGACGTTGGGACAGGGCCCAAATCTGAACACCTGCCCAGAGACGGGCGGCACAACTCCTCCCAGAGTGACCACCGCCACCGCCACGACCACCGTCGTCATCGTCGCCTGGAGGTTGTTCTTGATGTCAACGAGACCAGACGTAAGCAGTCAGTGGCGTCGTTGCTGGAGAAGACGAATAACAAATCGGACAATGCAGACAACGCCTCATTCGTATCGTCGTATCTCCGCGTAAATTACGAGCGGGGTGCTGTGTTTATTACACAACGCGTTTAAAATTCGATATCACTCGCTCGGCTACTGGGGGCTATGGGGAAGGCGGCCAAGCAAGTACCACATCACACCAGGATGGATACTTGGGTTGGTTGCTTCCCCCCGATGTTCCGTTTGGAATTGATAAAAGCTACCATACTGCCTCTACTTGACTACTGTGACATCGTGTATAAATCAGCCCCAAGTACTGTACTGAAGAAGCTTGATTCTATCTATCACTCGGCCTTAAGATTTGCATTGAACTGCCCATATAGGACTCACCACTGTGATCTCTACATTGGGTCAAACTTAACATCTCTTAATGTTTGACGGGTTGTGCACGAGATCTTATTTATTCACGATGTACTTACAAAAATATCCGCAGACTACCTACTGGATCTCCTCTCTGTTTCAAAGAACAAATTTGACCTCAGGTCTTCGCTTATTTACCAGCTTCACATTCCCTATTGCCGTACAAAAACCGGAGGGAGGGCCTTTGCTATTGATGCCCCCAGGGTCTGGAATGCTAATGCAAATAAACTGCAACTTGAATCACTACCTATGAGATCTTCACTCAAAACTGCTCTAGAGAATTCTAGATTTGAAGCTTTCGTGACTGCAAGGATCCATACTCTTTGGTTCTATTCGGTAAAGTCACGTCGGTAAAAAATAAAATAACACCACCTGACCAGTGAATTAAAACATGTACACCTGGCCCTCAAGAGAAACGGATACTCTGACCGTACCATCCGCCAAGCTGTTTCTCCCTCCATACAGAAACAACCACTTGATACTCCGGTCAAAACCATCACACTACCTTATATAGCAGGCGTTACTAAAAAGATCTCCAAAATTCCAAACAAACACAAGATCCTGGTCCGGTTCAATACAGTACACAAAATACGTGACCTGATCCCATCCGTGAAGGATGTCGTTCCTGACTTACAGTACCCCGGGGTTTACAAACTGAGCTGCACCTGTGGTGACTGCTATATTGGGGAGACGAAACGACATGTCTTTGACCAAATTCGCGAGCACAAATCAAATTTGAAACACGGCAGAACGAATTCTTCTGCTGTAGCTGATCACTGTTACAACGCAGTGGGTGATCACGATATAGTTTTCTCCAATACCAAGGTTCTCTGCAAACCCACGGGTTTTTATCAGAGATTTGTCCACGAGGCAATTCAGATTTACAAACACAGACACAATTTCAACCGAGAGGATGGTTTCAAATTAAGCAATCATTGGAAAGATGTTCTAAATCAAACCAAACATTAAACAAATTTTCAATGGTACAGTATATTTATTCAAGAAGTGGTATTCCAAACTTTCACAGCAGATTATTTCCCTTCACGCCAACATTATGTAAACTCCCCCCCCCGCCCACACCGTGCCTGTCCAGTACATCATTGTTATGCTAATTCCTTTGTCAAGGCGTTTTTTGTTTCCTCCCACACAGCTTAAAGGACGCGACCTGGGCTTGCTGTCTTCACTCCAACGCTGTCCTCTGGATAGTCCAGTCCCTTCACCTGATGAAGGCCACTTGTGTTGTGGCCGAAACGTCGTGATTTTTTATTTAATTTTTTACCTACGTGACTTTACCGAATAGAACCAAAGAGTATGCTCTAGAGGAGTTGTACACCCATAGCTGCCACTGCTATTCATTGGCCTAAAATATGGCTCTAGGGTTTGGTGTTAGATGTTATTTATGTTGTTTATTAATAAAAAAAATTCGGTCACAGTCCCTATCATCACTGTTACATTGCATTTATGGCTTTTATTTTGGTGATTTCGAAAACGTTTTTTTGGTTTGGCCATGTTTTTGTTTATTCTAGTACGGAGTTAGACTGATGGCCTAAATCTTAGTTGTCGTGTGGTTGTTGCTGTTGTTGTTTGACTTGTATCCCACTGGGATTTTTGCACACAGCGTTGGTGTACGGTGCTATTTCAGGAATATTTTGATGTTTTTTTCCCTGGATTTTCTGTTTGCACAGTCACATAATCACTTTAAGATGTTTTCTTGTTCATGTTTTTGTTTTGTGTTTTTTTGCGGTTGCACCCGATTCAAGAGCCGAATGGCTCACAGGGCTATACCAAAATAAATGGAAACTATGGACACGCGACGCTGGGGAGGTGAGGGATCGGTGTGATGACGTCAGGCGAGATCGGTGCTGAGTTGGTGAGGAGGGGGTGACGTCGAGACTCGGGGTGGTGGGGAGAGGGATTGATGACGTCACGCGACGCAGTTGAATTGGAGAGGGAGTGATGACGTCAAGAAACGCAGTAGTGGTGACAAGGTCTCGATGACGTCACGCTAAATTGGCGTCACGCGACAACAAAACATTTAAATTAATTAAGATACATAAATGTGAGGATACAAAAATATTAAAATGTCTAAAACATTAATACCAAACGATAAAACCTACATATTTGCCTTTCCGTTTACCGCGGAAGTATAACCGGGTTCCTGCTCGTCATGAATAAGAATTAGGTCGTGCAGCGGCGTATTCCATTGGCCAGCAGTGTCTGGTTACGTGCGCCTATCACGCGTGTCTAGGAATTCCAACGAATCGCCGACCGTCATTCCACGCACGTGCGCGCACGGCGACCAATCGGCTCGGCGTGTCCGGCAGTAGTCGGATCGCCAATGCGGCCAAGAAAAAGGCGCGAAGTTTTTATTCGCGCCAATATTCACCTCAGCGCCGTGTTTGCTTCGGTGCACGGGCAGCGAGCGAGCTTTGGATTTTTCACGTTCGTCTATATTTAAAAGCAACATCGCGAATATTTTCTAAATTTTTGAGGTAAAATCGGTTTATGTGTGCGTCTTATCGAGCGTTTAAAAACAACGGTATTCATGAATGTTACGTTTTGTTATATACCGTCCTTTAATGCTTAGATTTTTCGCGCTAGATTATATCTAGAAATGTAGTAATTTGCTCTTCCGTGTTGCTTGTATTTTTTTACAGATTAAAAACTTTCACATACATTGTAATTTCGCGTATTTCTGGATACTGTTCTGAGGAGACCACTACGCTTGATAAATGAACGTGTTTATATAAACACACCCCTATTTGTTGCCTTGATTAATAACATTTACTACATATTTTTGCACGTATAAAATGTGTACATGGACGAGTTAAATCTATTTTACAATGTATTTAGTGTACTTCACATGATACAATTGAATGGCTGAATCGTTCAGTAATACACATCGTAAAGGAAGAATAATGTACAGCGCAGTACTGTACATATTTAGTTTCCCAGTAATGTATATTCACGTGTGTGTATATATACAAAATCACACTTTTTTTAAACTGAGGTAACGTCTTAAGTGAAGCAAAATAATTGTATCCGGTCCGTAACTTGTATAAAAGTGCGAGTTGAACACTTGTTTTTATAGCTTTATTTTGGTGATTCGAAAACATGGTTAATCTAAATTGTCTTATGATTGTTGTTGTTGGCTTGCACCACATTGTCATTCTTGCACACAGCGTTTTAATACGTTTTATTTGTGTGGAATATTTGCTGGTTTATTCCAGAATGTTTCTGTTACGCGTTGTCGTTTTAAGACGTTCTGTGTTCAAATGTTGTTGCGGTTGCACCCGACTTAAGAGCCGCATGGCTCACAGGGCTATACCTAATACATGAAACGTGAAAACTTGAAACTTGTAAATGCTTCCTCATAATTGAGCATTATAATTCGCAGTGAATTAGCGTCTATATTAATTTAAGATTTGAAGCTTTCGTGGTTGCAGGAATCCATGCTCTTTGGTTCTATCGGTGAAGTCACGTATATAGAAATATAAGATATAAATTATATATATCTCGACGTTTCCATCGCAACACAAGCGATTGTCCTGATTCAGCAGCTCCCAATGCTGGATTATTTTTTTCGCCTAAGGACGACGACCACTTGTGTTGCGATCGAAACGTCGTGATATATTTGTATTTATTTTATTTTTCTACCTACGTGACTTTGCCGAAAGAATCAAAGTATTAATTTAAGCTTCATGTAATCTGGTTTCAACTACTTTGACTCTAAAGCCAATAACGTCCGTTTAACAATTACATACGAACATTATTAAGTAACCGTACGATGGTGTCAACTTTACGCGGCTGATTATATGCAAAGCTTTCATTTAACTATTTGTTAACGATATTCGCGCTAACGAAACTTGTCAAATAAATCGCCGTACCAATTAAAACGTAATGGTGCAAAATACATTGTAACTCCATAATAGAGGGGTTTTTTTGGGTCACGTAAACAGAACGTGCCAATTCGTTACTAGTACAGCACACCCGTGTGTTGGGGAGCAAATTCACAACATTGTAATTGCTGTAAATAGCTTTTTATATAAGTGGACTCGTCATATGAATATGGAATTTGCACTGACAACCGCCCTACCCTGCAGGGCATAGCATGTTTATGTAAATCGGTGTCTTTTAAATCGTTGGTTGGTGTCGTGAACACATTGGGATGATAGGAGGCGCAACTAAAAGCACTGAATATTAAGTGGATTGCTGCTGCTTTGACCAGGTGAAAAGAGAACACCCTCTCGCAGTCATTGTCTCTTCAAGGAAGACGCCGAAATAAAGGTTTGCGATGCATCAATCAGTAATCGTGCCCTAGTGTTTACAGTGTCACTAATACACTCATTGTTATAACCACTGCATCACCGCTGCACCAGACCAACACAATTCTTGCAGCATTTTTAAAGAAGCATCTCGAATGATTTCTGCCTTTGGGGTCTCTTCAGCAGTGTCTGGTCTGGTGACGGGTGTTTCTGTTTGTGTTCGTTTTATTGGCCTTGTCTCATGTGAGCCACGGTTTGCGCCTTATAAACCAAGGGGCAGTGTTTAGCACATTACTGTGAACCCAGCGTCCTAAATTTAATTCCCTGTCATGGCTTAAACAACTGGCAAGTGATATCTGGACTTTTCCTGGGCCTCTCCGCCTCCACCAACTTTCACTTTGAAGCCACCGGCACTTTGTACTTTTAAATTTAGATGGAAAGCGCATTTATTAAGAACTGCTGTTTGTGTTTTGTTTGTCCTTCCTCTGCACCTCCGATTAGCACATACAAGTGTGGTAAAGTAATGGCCAGATAACCCTCATGACCCACCCACACGGTGTGGGGAGGCCCTCAGCCAGCAGCAGATTGAAAAAGGGCTGCACATGTACTCTACGTTCCGCCGCGCTGTAACCAACTCCAGAACCGCACCATAACTCGGAAGCCAAGGCATTACGCTTGGATAGTGCTTAGATGGGTGGTGACCATGCATACCAGGTTATGGTGGGCAGCAGAAAAGGCAGTGCAGCAAAATCAATTGTTGTATTGTACATTTATGCTCCCATGTTCTTGCTCTTCTCCACCAACCCACACTGACCATTGTGGAGAAGTATGGTGAAGGTAGATTCTCAAATCCCACCCCATCTCTCTTTCCTTAGCGGTTGCTTATGGGCTGAGTCAACCCTCATCCAGGATTGAATTCTCAACATTTTGATTGCGAGTCGCTCACTATTAGAGTAAACTGCCAACGTAATGGGTACACAGCAGTGAGCCGATTGGCAGGTTGTGTCTGGGAACGTGGAAGGGTAGACCAAATACCAAGAGAAGCAAGATAGGGTGGGGCAAAACCATGGAGCGATTTGTAAACGAGAGTGAGGAATTTTAATACACTGTTTGAAACGGCATGAGCAAGCAATTACAGTACTTGACCACCTCCTGGCTGGATATACAATTTAACATTACGCTGTAAAAATTCTGCTCTTCCTCTGTACGCGATCGTAATTGGTGACAAACTCCACCATTCTCATCACCGCCCGAATTGCCCCCTTCCCCACAGCAGCGACCATGTTGGGCGTGCGCACTCGCTCCAGTGCGCTAGCGGTTGTGTCGCTGCGTGAGATCACCAACGCCAACATCCAGAAGCAGCAGCGCAACAAGCCAGTGCTGCGCGAACTGGGCAGGCAGTCCCAGAACGGCAGTGGAGAAGACAATCACGATGATGACACGTCTTCCAACTCGTCCAGCACCCAGTGAGTGCTCCACGTCATTGCGACAGTTGTGGCCTTTCGAAGGTTCTCGGCGTGAACCTTCACGATGGCTTGCCGAGATGTGAAAATAGACGTGGATTAGGCGGATGATATAGATAAATAAGAGGGATGAGAGAGCTGTAGACGAGATAACAGATTAGTGAGGTGCGGGAGGAATGAGATGGAGAGGAGAGCTGTATTCTCTTACGAGTGACGCAATAGAAGAACGAACACGTGGCGAAGGAATGCTGAGCCTGAATCACTGACATCCTGTGTTAGAATCTGGGTTTCAGCTATCCATTGTTAAACTGAATTTGCACGTGTGGTGAGTTGATGAACCCAATCCCATCACCACTCACCTGCGCTCAAAGCCATGGCGTAAAATTTGTTTCTGTGGCAAATTTGACTAAATCTCAGCTGTGAGCGTTTACAATATCAATTTGAATGTTAGGCAACAAATGTTACTCTCTTGTGGCAGAGTGGGCGGGAAAGTGCTGGCTCCTACTTTGAGGGCCAGTGGTCATTAGAATGTTTTTCTGAAGTAGCTCTCTGATAAATGTTTCTGTGGGTTGTTTTCTAACATGGGGGGGGGGGTCGCACTGCTCTGCCATGGATTTGTCATCTTTTAACATGGCACCAATAGCACAACCGGGATAGAAGAATTGAAGGGAAAAAACACTTTAAAGAGAACTGTTGATCGCTGGTGTGTGTGCGCGCGCGCCCGTGTGTCTTTACTTACAGGGAGAATGAGTGCTTGTCGGACGAGGAGTTTGTCGTGCGTGACTGGAAGCAACGGACGAAACGTCCTGCGCGAGGGGGGGGGGGCCCTACCGGTGAGAGAGCGTCGACATCGTTGTGAAACGCCACCTTCATTGTTATCGTCATTGTATTATGTCGTGGGTTCGATCCCAACCCTGACGCCTGTTGTATATTCAGAGTCTGCATGTTCTTCCTGTGGTCGTGTGGATTTTTCTCTGGGTCCTGTTTTCCCTCCACATTTATAAACATGCGTTTGGATTATTTGGCTTCTATAAATGTCCGCATGATGAGTCACTTTGTTGAGCTAGGTCTCCCTCGCTAAACAGGTTTCTAACCTCAAGGGTTTTTTACCTGCTTAATTAAAGGTGAAATATAAAATCAAATCATTTGTGGCCAGGTTACTTATGAAAAAGAGCTTTATAGTTCAGTGGACCTTATCTGGTAAAATAAATAAGGTCAATCTAGTGACTGTTCTTTTCTGTGGCTCAGGCGGCGAAAAAGCCTCGTGCAACCCTGCCAAGGCAGGCGAAGCGTCCCCGTGCCCCCAAGAAGCCAGCACAGCCGGCTGCTGCCGCGAAGCCTAGGGGAGCAGCAGCGGTGGTGACATCGACTCCACCGGATCCCAATTCTCTGTACCATGCTGTCCGCATTGGCAAAGCCGTGATGCTGGTGAGAGGGGTTGTGCGTGTGTGCCATTCTCTGTGTGTGCGTGACATTTTCCATTATTGTCTTGAACCCGCTCTCCTCCATTCATCCGTGCTGTCTACTCCCCTGCCCCTGTTCAAGTCCAGGCTTCCAAGACCTTCCTCTGCCTATGACTGACTGCCTCTCTCTAAAATATGCTTGCTGTTTCTCTACATTATCTTGAGATGCAATCACATCTAGACGCTATATAAATCCATATTGTATTTGTGTTATCATCCACCTTACAATAGTGCGGTAAATCCTTGTGTTTTTTTAGCACCTTTTAAGTCAGGTTGAAAGTGTTTCTCTATTTGATATGTTTATCCATACGTGACTGGGTGAAACTATCCATCCAAAGAACATCCAATATTATCCAAACTTGATTTTGCTATTAAGGACTTATCCCATTGAAAAGCAGCCAAATTAAAGCATTGCCCAAAACATGGAAACAAGCCATCTGTATAAGGACTGGCCTTGGGGTCTTATTTGAGTTTTGATGCAGCCAATTTAAACGAAACACTAGTATCTTGTGTGACGCATCTCTAAAAGTATCACACGCTATGCGTTTATATTTCCTTTGTTTAAAGGCGCTTTGGGTGTGCGATGTGTGTGACTTGTGCCACACATCACAGAATCTAAAAGCGTTGCCTCATAACAATGCCTGCAGACCGTTGTGGACACATGGGTCGACAGCTACAAGGAAGACCAGGATGAAGCCACACTGAGTCTAATCAACTTCTTCATCCAGAGCTCTGGCTGCAAAGGTGTGTTTTCTTTTAACAAAGTGCTTGCAACAAATGAACTACAATACCTTGCTGATCTCGTCAGGGAGTTTAAATCATTGTGCAAACTCTGGTCATCCTCGCAGCAGCTTTTGGATAATCATTTTAAAAAGACGGTCACTGTATCGGGCGCTTTCAGATGCGCTTCTGCAGCCGTCTGGCACGCTCTTCTAACAGGAAGCCACTGGAGCTGTGCACTTTTAGATCTAGATTGAAAGCTAATTTCTTGAACTGCTTTTTGTTGTTCTCTCCCTGCACCTCCGATTAGCACGGTTGGCTATGTATGGCGCGAAAGAAGTTCAGCATACATGTGTAATATGCACAGCCCTTTTTCTCAATCCACTGCTGGGTGTGGGTCTCCGTACGCCGTGGGGGTTGTTTGACTACACGTCACACTGTTGTGTACGGGTTGACGCAGACGTATTAAACAACCGCTGCAGGGATTTGCTGATGTCATCTGCACGTTAATTTATTTTATTTTGCTTTGCGTCTCTCTCCTGCTCTGCACGTCATTGCTCCCTGCAATATTGCTGTGAACTAGGCTGCGTCACAATGGACATGTATCGCACAATGGAGTATGCGGACATCATCCGCAAGATGACGGAGGGATTCGACGAGGTAGGGTTGGTCTGTTCGTGCAAATGAATATTGGTTCATGGAATAATTATGATGTATACAGTATTTACTCAGGATACTTGTTTCCCCAGAGAAAGTAATATTTTTTTTCCCCATTTCTTCCTCCCTGCTTATTTGTGCCACTGGGTTAAAGATTAGGAGTTAGATCCAGTGGTTAGGGTAGGGGCTAAGGTTTTGGGTTAGGGTTTTATGGTTTATTGGTTAGGGTAATTTTAGGGATAAAGGCTAAGATTTAGGGTTAGAGGTAGGGTTACAATGAGCGAACAGGGATTAGGTTTAAAGGGGTAGGGATAGGCGCTTTCATTGATTAGAATAAAATTATATCCACATGGACGGTACGAAAAAGTGAATCTCAACTTGAAAGCAAACCGAAAAACTGTTCCACAGATGAGTTTGGTAAGCAATCTTTAATCCACTGCACCACGGCTCCGCCCCATCAATTCGTACTCGGGGTTGTGTGGGTGTTGTTTGACACTATTGGTGAACCATCTGCGAAAATGTTTTCCCCACGCCCGCAGGAGAGTGCGGAGTACCCACTCTCACAAGCCGGGCTGCAGGCGAAGCGTTTCCGCACAGTGCTGGCCGATTTTGTGCTCATGCTGGTGCGGCAGAGCCGCAATGGCCCACTGTATGACCTCAAGGAGATGCTGCTTGGGTTGCTCACCGGGCTCACCGACTCCCAGGTCCGCGCCTTCCGGCACACCGCCACCTTCGCCGGTACGGAGTGCTCTAGGGCAGAGGGGAGCCTTGAGACATGGACACAAATGAACTATGAAACTATTTTAAATTTTTACTAGGTAAGGACCACTGAGCTATATAGCTCTTTTTCAGAAGTGATCTGGTCACAAATGATTGCTCAACAAAGTGGATATTCACGTGGAAATGTATAGCAGCCAAATACTCTAAACGAATGTTTCTGAATGTGGAGAATAAACCGGAGCACCTGGAGAAAAATCCACGCTACCAGGAGAACATGCAAACTCCAAATATATAGGTGTCACGGTCAGGATCGAACCCACAACCTTTATACCAGGTGAGGTAGTTAACATCTCGCCACTGTGGCACCCTGCATAGAGAGAGAGAGTCGGATGCCAGACACAGATAACAACAACCGCCATTCGCCACTAAGTGGCGGTGACGTCACCACGACGCTTGTGCCAGGCTATGTGCACCCTGAGGCCACGTGAAGTGTCGAACGCCCGCTGGCAGGAGGTCACGGGGCAGACCCAGGTGCCACGAGTCGACTGACTGAGATGACTGGCTGATGCACCACCTGTGCCCCCTACTGTGCCAACCTGCTGTGCTTTAGCCACCCGGCGCTCCGCTCGTTGTTCTGAGCGTCGCTCCTCCGCCCTCCGTTGTTGTTGGAGGGCGACTACCTCCAACTGCCCAGTAGCATCCTTCATGAGCCGACTCCACAGAGGCCGATCTTGACACCGCTGGTACCAGTCATCGGCAAGTCCACTCAGCTCCACGTCCTCCTGTACCACATCACTCCATCTCTTCTCTAGCCCGTGCCGCGCCCGCTTAGCCCCCTCAATCCGGCCGAACAAAAGCTGTTTCGGCATGCGGTGGCTGGGCATGCGGGCTACATGACCCAGCCATCGCAGCCTTGCCCGCCGGAAGAGCTCACCGATGGGACCTTGCCCAGATCTTTCAAGGATTTGTGAGCTCCTCACGCAATCCAGTCTGGTTAAACCCAGGATGGATCGTAGGCAGGCCAGCCTAAATGTTTCTAACCGGCGAAGATGTTCCATTAGGGGGGTCCACGTTTCGCAAGCGTAGAGAAGGGAGGGAATGACCGTGGCCGAGAAGACCTGAAGCTTAGTGCGGAGCGGCAGACCAGGTAGCTTCCACACAGCGTTACGCAACCGATGAAAAGATATTGCCGCTCGACTGATTCGGAGTGAGACCTCTGCTGTTAAACTGGAGCCAGTCATAAGCACACTGCCCAGGTATGGGAAACTCCACTCTCTCCACAACTGCCCCATCACCGATTGGGAGTTGTGGGGGTGGAGTGTCCGATGGTACAAAATACCCAGGCAGGTGCTTAGTTTTGGTGGGGCTGATGGTAAGGCCCCACCTCTTAGTGGCACGCTTCAGTCTCAGCAGCAGCGTCTCCAACTCCTCCTCTGACTGAGCAGCTATTACCAAATCATCAGCATACGTAACGTGGTTGAGCAATAGGGAGCCATCCCTTGACCGCACCCGGGCATCGATCAGCCTCCCATTATATCTGTACCATATGGAGATTCCCCCGGTACAGCTATTGAAGGCTTCACGAACTACGTGGTCAAAATAGATGTTGAATAATGTGGGAGCCAGAGGACATCCCTGTCGCACCCCAAGGTGTACAGGGAATGGCTCTGACTCCCGGCCACGTAGTTTTACCCGGGCCCGCTCACCATCATGAAGGTCCTTAATGATCGTGAGCAGAGGGTCAGGTACTCCAAAAGCACGAAGAACGACCCAGAGCCCAGGCCTACTGATGGTATCATAGGCCTTGACCAGGTCAATAAAGCAGAGATGTAGGTCTTGTTGGAATTCCCTACACCTCTGCTGTAGCAGACGGACAGAAAATATGGCATCTGTGCAGGACCGCCCTTTCCTGAAACCGCATTGGGGCTCCGCAAGCCTCTCCTCAGCGTGCCTGGCAAGGCGATGCTGAATAATCATTGCCAGGACCTTTCCCGGCACCCTGTAGTTGTTACAGTCTGTGCGGGGTCCCCCTTCTTAAAAAGGGGGACCACCAGGGCATCCTTCCAATCCTGCGGAACCCGTCCAGTGGTCCAGACTGTTGTTATGATGTCATATAGGGCAGTCTGTGCACAAACGCCACCCTCCCTCAGCATTTCGCTTGGGAGATCATCTCTGCCCGCTGCCTTTCCTGGTCTCAGACTCCGGATCGCCTTCAGTACTTCCTCAGCAGATGGCACCTCAGCCAGCCACTCACAGGGGGTGACTTCTTCCAATATTTGAGGCACCGCAGCCTCAGCAGGGTCATCCTCACTTTGTGCCACGATGTGTTTCCTGGCTGAGGGATTTTCCCTCCCCCAGGACCTCACAGAAATGCTCAGCAAATCTGCAAACCTGTTCCTGGGGGTCGGAGATTGGATCACCGTTTTTTCCCCTAATGATGGTAATAGGTGTGGCGCTGCAGGTTACTTTTTTGATTGAGTTAAATAGAGATTTGTGATCACGGGCCACTGAGGCAGACTCCATCTCCTCAGCAACCCGCGACCACCACCCATCCTTGCAGCGCCTCACGGCTCTCCGAACCTCCGAGCGAAGGCTGCGGTAAGCCTCCTCATTCTCTGACGTGGGATTCTGTAGCCGATGACAGTGGGCCTGTCGCTTTTTCTCAACCATCCTGAACACCTCCTCTGTCAGCCAGGGTCTCTGGGGAGGTCTGGGCCGCGTACCTAAAGCAGCCATTGCAGCTGCATGAGTCACAGTCCTTAACCTCGCCCATTTACCCTCGACATCAGGAGGAGTCGGGGACGATGCCAATCCCAGCCGCAAGCGATGATGAAATTCTCGCTTGCAACTTTCATCAGATAACTGAGACCAGGCCACTTTAGGTCGGAATGTTGTCCTGGGTGTACACCCACCACCGGAGTGGAAGAATGGCAGGCGCATCTTACAGATGACTAGTCGATGGTCAGAGGGCAGATCAGCTCCACGGTAGGTCCTGGTGTCAAGGACATGGGCTCGCATCCGCTGGTCCGTCACTATGTAGTCCAGCAGATGTTCTTGCTTGGACCCGGCATGCATCCATGATGTTGTGTGGATGCGCCGATGCCTGAACAGCGTGTTGGTAATTACAAGCCCATGGGCTGCACAAAAATCTAGCAGCCTCCTACCGTTGTTATTGAGCTGATCTGGCCCATGCCCTCCAATCACTCCAGACCAGGTGCCAGTATCATGACCAACTCGGGCATTGAAGTCACCCAACAGGATGACTCTATCCCGAGGGGCCACTTTAGCCAGCACCTGTGACAGGAGGTCATAGAAGGCATCTGACTCATCGGCTTTGCCTGCATCCCTCCACGGATGTTCATCTTCGGTGGGGGCATAAGTAACCACGACCACCATTCCTCGCCTCCGGTTGATGGGAAGGCGAGCCCAAAGTAGCCTGGGGCTTACAGCTTCCCACACCTCACCGCCACGCTCCCACGCCCCCGTCATTCTTTTGTTCAAAAGAAGAGCCACACCCTGTTGTTTGGCAGCCTGCTGCCCCGAGTAGAGGACTGTCCACCCCTCATGGTGGCAGGAGCCAGAGCCGGTCCACCGGACCTCCTGAATGCCGCATAGATCCAGGCGGTACCGGTCCAGCTCCCGACAGAGGAGTGGCAGGCTCTCCACCGCAGTGAGCGTTCGAACATTCCACGTGGCCACCCGTAGTGGCTTTTCGTTGTTTCTGGAGTAGCCCCGAGGGTAGGTATTCAATCTCCTGGCTCCGCCAATTGGGGTTTGGCCAGGAGACGCCATAGACGCCTGGCCCCCCGGGGCCTCCAGCACAAGCTTATTAGTTACATATTTCAGTTTAACTCGTGGTTTCGTGGTAATTAATTGAAGGTGGAGGGGTTACCAGCCCCTCGCACCCATCCAGAGCCCCCGTTTAGCCCCTGTGGTGGACACATATGACATGAGGGGAGGAGCCAATCAAAATTGGATCTCCCCCCACAGCACTGTCCACGACAGAGTTGCCCGTCCGGCACCGCGAGGAGGTAGGGGGTTGTTTTGCCGGATCAGACACAGATACACACAGCGACACAGACATTGACAGATAAATTCGCATCGACATACACACAGACAAATCGAGATGCAGGAAAGTACGGAGACATAGCCATTCGGACACACGGCACAAAAACGCAGAAAGACGAAGGCAAACAAAACTAATGTACATATATATTGAGTCTTTAATAAAATTGCAGCACTGAACCGTTACCAGGGGAAGGGGGGAGGATCAGTACACCCCTACCATTCATGAACCCTTGTGTTTGTGATCCCTCGTGATTGGGATCTTCTGATCCCTCGTGCGAGTCCCCGCCATGTGTTCGCGACTTCCCGTGTGTGTGCTCAGCCCTGAAGCTGCAAACGGGGCTTGTGGAGGTGTCCTTGTCTCTAATTGGGAGCTTGGAGAACGCCTCGCGACAGCTGCAGGCCGAGCGCAGCAAGGAGCCCAGGCTCAGGGCCGTGGACAAGATCGAGGGGCTGCTCAACACCATCAAGCAGGTAGGGATGACACCCACGTGCCCTTGATCTGTCTGCTGCTTGCTGAAGGCCCCCAAGCCATCGCCATCTCTCGCGGTCACGCAATGCAGCAATATCTTGCTGCCAGAGATCGGCCAATTTCATTGCTTCGTCTAAGCCAGGGGTCTGCAACCTGCAGCTCCGGAGCCGCATGTGGCTCTTTAACGACTGCTTCATGAGGTTTTTCACATGCGTTGCGGCTCTTGAACTTTATATATATTTAAAAAAAAATTACCCAGTTCTAAAAAATGTAACTTCTTGGTATTTTGCTTGACGACCCCTGGTCTAAGCAGTGGACGTGCCTTCTGGTGTGTTGCTTCCATTGGCTGCAACTTCTGATGGTCTCGACCACCGGCTGTCGTCTCTTGGAGAGATGTACCCTGCCCAAGCCTGATATTCTTAACAGTCAATACGATTTCTTGAACTTGTGTACATTCTCTCATCCTGTGTGTTCATCTTTCTGTCTCTTGCAACAAAGTTCAAACGTGCACCTCATGCCATGCTGCTTTGACGCTCTTATTTAGCTTTTGTTCCACTTTCTCACTGTCCCATGTTCCTGATCCATATATCAACATGTAATATGCAGTTGTTGATGAAGCTATATTACATTACCGTCATAGTGATGATACATTGATGATTAATCGATGGTAATTATATTGAGAATACCACATTTGTATCCTGATTGACATATATCAGGAGCTCTGATGGCACTTTTGGTGTTCGACGAGGAAGAAAATATAATTGTGATGTTAGTGGTGAATGTAAAGTTATAGTATTTATTATGTTGATGCTGAATTGCTGTGAATGATACTTATTTTGATGGTGATAAACTCCACTTTTTATGTCACTCACGTTTGCAGTTGAATGAACATCAGGAGGATGTGGAGAATATGATGCGTTCTATTTTCAAGTCTGTCTTTGTACATCGCTACCGGTGAGTGTGTTTTTTACCTAATGCTGTGCTCCTATGCAATGGGTAGCAGTGAGGTGACGATGTATCGGTGCAAGAGCGTGCATGCGTGCATGGCAGGTAGTTAGCACACTGCTGCAAACATGACGACCCGGGTTCGATTCCAGGTCAAGGCTGACATCTTTGAGTGATATTGGAACCAGTCCTGGGCCCTCCCCTAGGTTTATTGGTGCTTAAATAGTTTGGTGTGTAAACATCAGCACTGGTGAGACAAAGGCGATCTGGTGTGGTGCTGGCCACAACACCACCACTCTCCTCTGTTGTGTTGTCCCTTAATAGGTGCTCGCTCGCAGCACTTAGCCCAACAGTGCAAGGGCTGTAGGGGTGATGTGTGTGTGCAGGGATTCGTTCCCAGAGATCCGAGCCCTGTGCATGGAGGAGATTGGAGTGTGGATGAAGGCCTACAGTGACGTATTCCTCGATGATGGTTACCTCAAGTACATTGGCTGGACTCTCAACGACAAGGTAAGCAGTGGAGGCGTCGAGATTCAATGATTACAATTTATTTTCATGCTCGTGGTACATGCATTGAATGATGCGTGTGAGAATGTATCCGTTTTTTAAATGCATGTTTATATTGATACAATGATAATAAAAATATACTTTGGTTTCCTCCTACATTAATTAACACTGCTTAGTGGAGTTGGTTAAACAGAGAACTTGGGGGACATGGTTAGTGCCGGTTCTGGCTGCCTTCCCACTTGTCTGGTTACCCGTGGCACTGAATAACAAAAACTGCACGTTACAAAAGTGTGTGCTGTACTGGTGAAGCATTGGTTCGGTAGTTTGTACCCTGCGCTATGACCACAGCTAACATCAGTGGCGTTTCCGAATCACGGCAAAATGCAGTGAATATTTTTGACCATGGCTAACATCAGTTTTTTGCACTGCGATATGAACACCGTTATCTGGGTTCGATTCCTAACGACGGCTAATGTCACTGAAGGGTTGGCTGGGTACTTCTCAGACCTTTACATCATCACTCCTGTAGCCCTCAACTGGCTCTCGACAACCTCGGCATCAACATAGAAAGGTTGACAATCACCCTGCCATACAAAAAAATAATACGTGAAGAGTTGAATAGAATCGTGAATTAGTACTGGACAATTCCTACTGCAGTTGAATTCGAATCCTATTATCTTACCCGTAGGTGTTTGCTGCAGGATTCTCTCAATTGTTTATATAGTCAATTCCCACGTTAGTCTTCATCGGTTTGAATGGGGTTCAGTCGGCATTGGCGCGCCCTCTTGTGGCGTTCGATTGGAATGGACAATGATCACATTCGCTCCAATCAAGGTTTCTACATGTACCTGTACAGCTATTTTTTTGTCAATCCACTGTTGGATTACCACGCGGGTCATATGGGTTATTTTTCCATACTTTACCTTGCTGGTCAATGCATTTTTGTGAAGGTGGTCGTTGGACATCAGAGCATAAAAATACAGTCCAATGATAGGTTTTATCCACTGGCATCTGCTGCCTGGCAGCCTATAACACTAAATTTTGATTTAAAGCTTTCGTGACTGCAGTCAGTCATATTCTTAGCTCTTTCGGTAAAGTCACGTTGAAGGGAAACAATAAAATAATAAAATATATATAACTGCCAAATCGCTTGTTGTGGTGCTAACGGTTTTTATAAATAAGGGAAAACGCCGCCTGAAAATAAATAAATGGTGAACCGACACTTCTTTCAAATGTTTCTTGCCGTTGGTTTTTCACACCTGATGATGACCGTTTGTGTTATGGTCGAAACGTCGTGAGAATTTTTATTGTTTAATATATATTTTATTATTTTATTGTTTCTCTTCAATGTGACTTTACCGAAAGAGCTAAGAATATAGCCTATAACACCTTTTATGCACAATGGTTGTGCGTCATTGCCCTATCCCAGCTCAGACCTGCTTAGCTTTTGACATCTGGCACTATTGGGTGCATTCCAGGTTATTTGGTCATTATTTTCATTGCCACTGAATCCTGTTCATATGAATGAAGGATTCTGTCTCCATGAAAATGAGTTCGATTCTTTGACAACTTGGGAAATCGTCCACAATCCCCCTCCTTGCTTTGGCATTAGATACAATTCTGGAGCAGCTGTTGGTGGTGGTGGGATTATTGGCTTTGAAAATCGTGCTGATGTTGTTGACGGTGGTGTTGGGCAGCACGGTGGTGGCGCAGTGGTTACACTTGTTCTCCCTCTGCTCTGTTCTGCATGAGTTTCCTCTGCATCCTCCAGCTTCCTCCAAAAGTTAAAGAAATATAGTGTTACTGGTATTAGCCAAACATCCCAATGCTGAAACATTACCTGCAAATTACTCAATTTGGATGACACATTAATATTGCTTCCTACTGCAAAAACTTGACTTGGTGAGACTTTCCTATGCAAACAAGTGTAACAATAATAATCTTGTGTTTGGTCCTTTTGTGCTGCTGTTGTATATTATCGTCTTTGTCCACAGCAAGGAGAGGTGAGGTTGCGATGCCTCTCCGCTCTCCAGGGCCTCTACTCGGAGAAGGAATTCTTCCTGAAGCTGGAACTCTTCACAAAACGCTTCAAGGTGCGCGGTTGCACATCGTCTCATGAATCGCGATCCATAAATGTTGCCTGCAAAATTCTATGTGAGCGTGGGCTAAGTTGATGCTCCAATCTTGGGTTTGAATTTCCAACTTCTTCAGTTGTGGGTGTTTTGCAACAGTGCCACCTGGTTGCATATTATTATTTCATAATCACCAGCCATGATCTATCCTCAAGCTATTGCCGTTCGTCACAGTCTCGCGAAGCAATGATCTGTCTAGCTCTTCCGCACGAGCGGATTTCATCGCTCCTCCGCGGTGGGTGAACTCTTGACGTGTTACTTTTGCTGCCGCTCCATGGCTCAATCGACAATCGGCCAATATTCCTCCTAGCAATGTGGTTCTGCCCATGGCCACCTGTTTTTCTGAAGTCAATATGACAGTAGTGACGATTATTGGTGATGTTAATTATGTAGGTAATGCAAATCGCTCATGATAATGGTGGGGGTGATGTTTTTTAAAACTGCCGTGATAATTTTGGTGTTGATAATGACGGTAGTGCTGATGTTGTTTATAACAAGAGTAGTGTTTGTGTTGACGATAATGGTGGTGAAAGTGAAGATTATCACAGTTGTAATGATGTTGATAAGTTTGTCATGGTAATGATGATTTTGATGTTTGTGACTAATCTTGATCCTTGTAATGGTTTAATGATAATTGTTATGTTGATATTGGTGATGATGATGATGACGATGTTCATGACAATTACAATGAAAACAGTGGGTGATGGTAGTGATGCTGCTATTGTTCCAGGAGCGGATTGTTTCAATGGTGAATGACAAGGAGTTGGATGTGGCTGTCAAGGCCACACAAGTCCTCGTCAGCATTCTCGAGTGAGTGGACGAGCACCCAACACACGTCCTCTGCTCCACCAATCCCTCATCCGCCCGCCTGCCGCACCACGTGAACTCAAGCGGCCTGATAACAACAGCAGTTGCTCTTATTTACAGTGGAGTGTGCGCTGCCGTTTGCAGGAACAATGAAGAATCGCTGTCAGTGGAGGACTGTAAGAATGTCTACAGCATGGTGTTCTCTATGCACCGACAACTGGCCACAGCTGCCGGCGAGTTCCTCTACAAGAAGTGAGTCGGCGAGTGAGTTGGTGGACAAACAGACTGAGATTGGGTTAGTGAGTGGGCGAACGAGTGAGAAGTTCAGTGTGGAAGCAGGTGAGCGAGTAAGGAGGTGAGTGAATGGGCACGTGGGGTGCTTCAGTGGCGAAATGTTATCTACCTCGCCTGGTATACAGGAGGTCGTGGGTTCGATCCCGACCCTGACGCCTGTTTATTTGGAGTTTGCATGTTTTCTTCATGGTCACGTGGATTCTTCTCCGGGTCTTCCGGTTTTTCCCTCCACATCTAGAAGCATGCGTTTAGAGTATTTGGCTGCTATAAATCTCCACATGATGTAATCCACTTCGTTAAGCTCAGTTTGCCTTACCTGGTTAAATAAATTTAGTTTCGCTGTTATTTGTGTTCATGGCACTTGCTTTCATTGCAGGTTGCATTCTTACATCAGCAATAGCTATGACGATGAGGAGGACATGGGCTCCCACAGCCGGAGGAGGACGGAGAAGAACACGACTCTTCTGCGCTTGCTCGTTTCCTTCTTGCTTGAGAGTGAAGTGAGTTGGCTTAGAGGATGAGACAGCACAGCTGGGTTTCTCTGATGGTTCGAGCAAATAATTTTTTTGTGCCAAAATATTTTAAATTGTTTTGCTTGTTTACCCAGGAAAACGTTGCTGATTCTCAAGACTTTTATGGGGGTGGGGGTCCTGCCAAGTTTTTTTGTGTATTTGGGAGCAAGAATTGTAATGTTGCCATGGGTTTAGTCCAATGGAGTAATTTGCAGGTAATATTTCGGCATTGGGATATTTGGACCCGTTACATTGCGTGTTCTTTTTGTTCAGCCATGCAAGGAAACTGGAGAACCTGTTGGAAACCCATTAAAAAAGGATAACTTACAAAACCCCACACAGAAAGGGGCCTGAGTTGGGAATTGAACCCAGGGCCTGCTTGCAGTGGAGCATAAGTGTTACCACTGTGCCACCCCTGTCATTTATAATATGCAAATGAATATGAAAAAGGAAAGTTGCATGAGGAGTTCCATTAGTCTGCGAGAATTAGGAATGGATTCCACTCCTTGGTCAACTCAACCTTAAATGAGTACATCAGCACTCGGGAGACAAATGCGCCTGTTGGGTGCCGTGCCGGCCTGTATAGGTGCTCGCTAACAACACCTCGCCCCAGCGGTCTGTTCAAGGCTACGCGGGGGACCTTTGTGTTGCTTCCAGATGCACCAGCACGCGGCGTACATGGTGGACAGCCTGTGGGAGCACGCACGGGAGGAGCTGCATGACTGGGAGGCCATGACGAGCCTCCTACTGCCCACGCATAATGCCAACAGCCCCAACGAGGGTAAGTGGCCCTGGGAGTGGGGAATCATTGCCCCCCCCCCCCAGGGAGTGCTGTAATGATGCCCAGCGACGCCGAGTACACAGAAAGGCACACGCTTGAGGTTTACGCCAAGAGGGGACAGAGGAACGCATGGATTGGAAGAAGTGTGTGAGACTTAGAATGAAGTTGGTGCGTTTGGGTGGGATACGTCGCTAGAAAGGAAAGGCACACAAACAAGATGGTAAGATGAGAAACAATACAAACGAGACAAATACACCATTGACCACCTCCTTTGCCAGTAGAAAAATATGATAATTGTTTTTTTACCCTTTTATCTGGCAACAAAACTGACAGCTTTTTTACAAGGAGTCATGCTTGCATTGACCACAATACCTGCGGTCGGAATGCAAACAAAAAACATAACTCTGATAATGTATGTACTGTCCTTGAAATTGATTGGTCCACACCCGAGAGACGGCTTTTCTTAGAGCCTTGTAACAAAGCTGTCAGTTTTGTTTCCAGATAAAAGGGTAAAAAAACAATTAGACAAATACAATTAATTCTTAAATAGGAATCGCCCAAGATGGTGATCAGGGCTGCATTTGAATTGAATGTAAGTATACCTATACGTTTTGTTATTGATTTTATGTTTTAACCGCTTGGCGTACCATTTTATCGACGCGGCAGTTTCTTGTACATAGTCGTCGGCATCCACTGGACGTCTTTAATATTCAGCAATTTATTTAATGTCACGGAAGAAAAGAGCAGTTGGGGGATCTTCGTCTGTTTGCATCGTTCCTCATTTACCCCCCCAACACAAAGGCCTCTCGGACAAAGAGGAGGCGGGCCTCATCGACATCATGGTTTGCTGTGTGAAGCAGGCTGCTGAGGGCCTCCCGCCCATTGGCCGCCTCTCCAGTCGCAAGGTACGCGCCTCCTCCCCCATTCACGCTGCCGTGTACTCGCGCCATCCAGCAGTAGATTTACATGGTTTGAACATATGACCTGATAATGATTTTGTTACATTTTCTCAAGTTATACAAGAGTGCTTTCACAGACAATATAACTATGATTCACAATTGGCTTTTGGTTTGTTCCACATAGTGATCTGGCCAAATTCTTGTTGGGAAAACCTCCTTCACCTGACCTAAATTGTCACATGTGTGAGCGTTTAACAGACCAACTTTCATTTTTGCAGCCTTGTGACTATAAGTTGTAAAGTTTATTAAAACAAATTTTGCAGTTAGATTTTGTGTTTCTCTTGAAACTTGCGTCAACCACCCTTGGATTATGAAACCAGGTGAGAATGACCAGATCACAGTGGATGAAGCAGCAAGGTTTTTTTACTTTGTAGTATACGGCCCGTTGTCAAAAAAAGTAAGTTGGCTTGGACAGGACCTGTTGCGAGAAGGGAGAGGAACATAATTGAGACTGAACCAAAAGGAAATGAAAAAATATCAATGCTTCCTGACAAATCATCATCATCCTGTGGTCTTTGCGTGCACCACCATCACCTGTGCCTGAAGAGCATCCTCTGGGGTCTCTTCCTCCCCAGACTCAGTCGGCCAAAGAGAAAAAGAACAAACAAGACGAGCAGATGCGGCTCACGCAGCATTTCATCATCGCCATGCCACAGCTTCTTGCCAAGGTGGGCCCCGGGGGCAGACGCCACCACCTGCACACCGTCACTGGGATTACACGAGGCCATTTTTTACTCCATGGCTATTGGGCATTGGCATAGCGGCCCGTTCGCCGCAGGTTGCAGAGGCTCACGGTTTTGAATCCAGCGACTGCTCTGGTTGGTATTGCGGGGAGTGTTTTTACAAAAAGCAAATAAACGCAGTCTGCTTCAGAGTAGATGTGAAAAATCCCTTGGCGCCATTCGCAAGAGTAGACCATTGCGCGTCGGCGTCATGAAAATTTCCGTAGCCACCGTAGCCCTCTATTGAAACAATATTGCAAGACCCTCCTGAAAAAGAGACATGGAGGCTTTCCTGCGTAAACCATAACCACGATATCACGTTCCCATAACTAATTATAGTTCATATTTATATAGTGTAGTGCTTTGCTGTACTTTTGTATGAAGGTTACTTTCACATTCAACTCTATGTGCACATGTACACGTGTTTGTACACGTTTGCGTGCGCGTGCACATGCTTATGTATGCGCGTGCATACATGCCTTGGTGTATATGCGTGTGCCTGATTGTTCATGTGTGTGTGTCTGTTCTCTCTAAGTATGCGGTGGATGAAGAGAATGTGGTGAATTTGCTCCAAGTGCCGATGTACTTCGCCCTTGAGGTCTACACCAATGGGAGACTGGAAAAGGTACCTGTGAGGCTGTTTGTCTTTTACCCCCATATTCTCCCTGTGCAGGATGTTCCTGATGTCAATGGGCTACTACGTGGTTATATATGTAGTGAGTCCAACTGAGTCGCAGACGTTGCCTTGGGAGCAACACTTTATTAAGTAACTCAACATAACATAACAGCCTACACTTGGGTGTTGAATGCTCAACTAGCCACGCTACGGTAGAACTAGACACGGTTTGCTATCCCGGCATGGACCACAAGCTGGGTCCCGAGCCGACGTGGCTCTTCATCACCGGCAACACGAAGAACCCCGAGCCCCTCACGGGGCCCCGTTATATCGGCCTGGGCTGGGGCTGGCTCCGCCCCTCGCCCCGCCCACCTTCTAGATCTCTCTAGCTCTTTCCCGAAGGCTCCCGAGAGCTCTTTTATACCACGTGACCACCCAGCGGCCCCCGACCACCGGTGGCCCCCCTCCAATATCATCCGGTCACGTGTCGGCAGGTCAACCGGCGTATCATGCCCCAACGTAACCCTGGCTGGCTGATACTCCCTCTCGCTCCCTCACCGGGAGCCCGCACCGCACACTCTACGTGGTGCCTCCACGCTGACCAGCGCTCACCCAAGCCCCGCTAGGGCTGGTACTACGCCCAGTAAGCGGGCTACACATAATGCCAACACATTATCCGCCGTGGCTTCGTAAGCCCGGCACCACACAGTGACAATCAGTCATCTCTGCAAAGTAAGAGCTTCTTGCTCTTTGGCTCGTGTCTCTTTTAAAAGACCATGCACAGTTTATCTCTGTCTATAACCATGTGTTTGTGCATACCTGTGAGTGTGCGTGTTTGTGTATCTGTGTTTTTGTGTGTGTACACCTGTGTGCGTGGGGAGTGGTGGCACAGCGGTTAGAGTGCTGCGCTGCGAACCTGGCAACCCGAGTTTGATTCCCGTTTATGGCCAACACCAGTGACGAATATCTGAACAGGACTTTGGCCTCCTCTAGGTCGACTCGGCCTCAAATGAGTACTTGTGGTGCAGTGTGTAAACATCACCACTGGGGAGACAAAGGCAGTCAGGCATGGTGCTGGCAACCCACCCCCTCGTACCATGCGGGCCTTCATAGGTGCTCGCGAACAGTACTTGCCTCAACAGCCTTCTGATAAGGCTATATAGGGGGGATCTTTTTCTTTGTGTGTGTATTGGGGAGCGGTAGTGTAGCAGTTAGCGCACTGCATTTTGAACCCAGCAACCCAAGGTCAGTTCCTCCTCACGGCCAACACCAGTGAAGATTATTTGAAGCAATCTCTCCAAGGTCGACTCAGCCTAAAATGAGTATCTGGTGCAATGTGTAAACATGGCCACTCGGGAGACAAGCTGCCAGGCCAGGCATGATGCTAGCCACCCACTCTCTCATGTGCCGTGCCAGCATTCATCGGTGTTCGCTAATAGCACTTGCTCCAACATCTGTTAAAGGCCATACATGGGGGGTTCTTTGTTTTTGCACAGCACCTGGACACGCTGGTGCGCCAGGTGGGCGAGGTGGTGCAGAAGCACGTCTTGCCGGACGTGCTGGATGGGTGCTCGCGCGCACTGGTCGCACTGACCATCCCCGACTCCTCCGTGCACTCGCGCGCCCTCGTGTCCGTGTCGAGCCTGATGGACCTCCTCGTTGACCGCTTTGCTCATGCCCTGCCCGCATTCATGGAGCAGGTGGGGTTGCATGCACGTGTGTGTTTAGTAGTGGATCTTTGTGCATGTCTCCGATAGCGTAGTGGTTCGTGCACAAACCCTGCGTCTCGCTAATTACAAAAGATTACTTACGAATATCTCAACCGGTCCTGGGCCACTCCCCTAGATCGACCGTGCCTCATATGAGTAGCTGGTGCCGCGCGTAAACATTGGCACTGGTGAGACAAAGGAGGCCAGGGATGTGGTGCTGGCCGCACCACCCCCTTAAGCGCTGTCAGTCTTTTTAGGTGCTCGCTGAACAGAACAGTCGCACCTCTCCGATTAGCATAGTTGGCTACATCCGGTGCGAAAGAAGTTCAATATACATACAGTACTTGCCCTAACTGCCTAAAAAGGCTATACAGAGGATCTTTGTTGTGTTTCCATTAGCAGGTGTGCATTTACCACCATTAGTGAGCAAAACAATAAAAATCTCCATGGGCCCTTGCCTGGTTGAGTATTTACTTTAGCAGGCAAGGGTTAACGACCCTAAACAAACGTCTCAATAAATTAATAATTGCCTCCAAATTACCCAATTGGGATTACACATGGACACATTACTGCAACAACCTAGCAGGACTCCTAAAATCAGTCTTGTGGCTCAGTGAGGATTTGTTGGGTATACAAGTGAATTTTGTTTTAAGTTGCTGTCGTGCATTTCCAGGATTATGACGCGGATGGCAGCATCGCCTACGACTTGCTGTCCGTGCTGAAGAGACTGGCCTCATTCTACAAGTGAGCACTTAATTTGACTTTCCGACCACCAGCCGTGTGTTGAATAATTAATAATAAAAACGACCTTTCCCCAATTTTTTCTCACGGTTGTGCTGTTTGCGTCATGTCATGAGACAAGGAATCAATTTAACGTTCTCGGATAGAGCTGTGCTGGTCGTCGTGCACACTGCACTACGAACCCAGCCGCCTGAGTTGAATTCTTGGCCGTGGCTAACCGCAATGGCAAGTAAAAACTGAACCAGGCCTGGGCCTCCCCTTCGGTCTAATCACCGTTCAAAAAAAATTGTAGCTGGCACAGTGTATGAACGTCAGCACTGGGAGACGAACCATCCAGGTGTAGTCCTGGCCACACCACCCCTTCACATGCCGTGCCAGTCTTCGTAGGTGTTTGCAATAGCACTTGCCCCAACAATCTGTAAAAAAGCTACACAGAGGATCTTTGTCTTCTGGGTGTGTGTGTATAACAATGGGGGATCTTTGTCTTATACTTGTGTGTGCATGCCTTCTGCTCAGTGGTCACGACCTGACCAGGCTGGACGTACACGAGGGCTGTCTGACTCTCATAAAGCATGCGGACAAGGGAGGGGATGTCCCCGATCAGGTGACTTCTTCCCTCTCCCACAATCTAAACTCAACTAAACTTTTTGTAATTTTACCAGGCAAGACCCACTGAGCTATATAGTTCTTTTTCATCAGTGACCTGATCACAAATGACAGCCCAACGAAGTGGCTTATCACGTGGAAATGTATAGCAGCCAAATACTCTAAATGCATTTTGATTCTAAATGTGGAGGGAAAAACTGGGGGACCCGGAGAAATATCCATGCAATCATGGAGAGAACATGCAATCCAAATATACAGGCGTCAGGGTTGGGATTAAACCCACAACCTTCTGCATACCAGGCGAGGTGGTTAAAATCTCGCCACCACAGCGCCAATGCACCGTGTGTTGCGTTGACTTAGCTGATGCGCGAGATCCCACAATATACCGCGTGTGGTGACATAGATAGCTGTAGTGCTGTGATGAAGCGGTTTCTATGTTGGAACTCCCTCAAGCTAACCAGATCCTGATATCACCACATCACCCACTGGCTCTCCAGACCCAAGCTACCTGGAATCCGCACTTAGCCCAAACTGGGTCTGCCAATAAAAAAATATATATAAAGTAAATTATATGAGGAACACGAAGTATAAACATGATTTACATACTCTATCCTTGATATAATACGTTATGTGATGTACAGTAAAATCCTGGCTGGCCAGATGTCGGACTTAATTAGACCAGGTTGGTAAAATAAAAATCTAAACTTTATGAAATGCCATAATTTATGATGCACTGTGGAATATGCTATGTGATATATAATAATAATAAATGCTCTATTACACATTACAGTGTGGTGGGGGAGGTGTGGTAGGCAATGAAGGAGAGGGGTCATTGGGCAGGAGTAATGAAGGATCTGGGGAGAATGGTGGGGGATGGGAGTGACCGATGTACCCTTGGACTGACGGGCTTAACTACCAACTTCCGGGTTATGCATGTACATTATTTATGTTGATTAACTATGAAACAACCGGAAATGGACATCAATTGCAATTTATATGAATACATTAACCCCCCCACCTCTGGTCTTCGCACCCGATTGGCCGAAAAGTAGTACTCAAATTTTAAATGTTGTGGGATTAGTCTCCAATACACCGGTGTGCTGAATTAGTAACGAATTGGCATGTTTTGTTTACATGACAAACCTTACTAATTGGCTGTGTCGGGTGGTGGCGGGTTTAACGACACATTTATATTTATGCGATCGAACCCATAACATCTCTTATGAATTACCATTAAATACTGCATGGAACATAGCATGGAATTCATGCAGTATTTGAGTTTTTTTATGGTAGGGTAAGTTGCATACACTCTGCGAATGCTGATATACACTGATATTTACTACACGAATACACCCCAGGGTTGTTGTTTTTTGACGTAGGTTTCATTTTATTCCCAGCTAGTCAGCCTTTTCAGCTATTCAGAACAGCCCTCCCCTCCTGTTGAAAAAGAGCTTGCTAGCTCAATGGGTCTTCCCCCCGTATACCAACAAAAACATACAGTAGTCTCTCCATTGTCCGCTTGCGGTTTATCCGATTTACGGATTAACCGTACATCTGTGATTTTGACATAAAGCTTAATTCAAGGATTTCCCCTTAAGCCCGAATTAATAATCTAAAAACGGTTATACATTATTATTCTTGGCAATGTTTATTACTAGTCACGTACTTAAACTGAACAAATGTGCTCAGGTTAATCCGAGATCCACGTGATTGCCTCTACAGTACAGTAGTTTTCCTATCTTTACAACAGTGGTTGTAGTTTGATTATTTTTGGATTATATCCGCGAATCTTAATTATCTGCGGCGGTTCTCCCCATCATTAACGTGGATAATCGAGAGTCTACTGTATTTGAATATGAGTCAGGCTAGCCAAGATTTTACTGTCGTAATAAAAGTTAACACAATACTTGGCATGTTCGTCATAGCATAATGTATGAACAAATATATATTCTGTTTTTTACTGTTTGTCCACAGATTTTAATCTACGCCACTAAGTGCGTGCATTACAGCCTGTTTTGGAGATTGTCCGCTCTTGCAGAAGACCAACCAGATAAGGTACTTGAAACACTTTTTGTTTTGTCCATGCCACCCCTCCCCCATAACCAAATTATTCGTATATTTGGTATTTGCGCCATTCTTAAATCGCAAGGCTGTCAACGTAGACTCTCCGTTACACAGACCCGTAAATACATCCGTGCATTGTTAACCAGGGCGGCCACTGGGCTTAAACCATGAGCCTTTGCAACGAGCGGATAATCGTACGACCGCTCAAGCCGTCATCATCTAATGATCGTCCCACCTCCACTTGGCTTTCACTTCTCAATTCCAGAAGGAGGTTGTCTCCCTGCGCAAGAGCCTGAGGTCGTTTTTGCATTTGTGCAACAAGTTGCTCATCGGAATCGGTCTGGCTTTGAAAGAGCAGGTGACTTGCACCCACGTTTACTTGCCCACTTGCTTCCTCGCTCACTCAGTTACTCGCTTGTCAACTCGCTGAGCTGTGTATTCCCTGACTCACTCTCTCACTGCTCACTCTCTCACTGCTCACTCACTGCTCATTCTCTCATTCGCTCACTCAATCACTCGCTGACTCAGGAGGTTAGGAGGGGGGAGGGAGATGAATAGAGTGAGGGAAGGGTATTCCATCTGCTGTGCGACACATTGCTTGTGTGTCACAATTTTTGTGTCTTTCTCGTGTCCCTCGTGTGTCCAGGTGTTCCTTCTGCTGTGCGACACACTGCTCGTGTTTGGCCACTCAGTGGCAGAGCAGGGCCGCCATGCTCTGCTCCCCCTCGTCGTCCAGGCCGAGCCTGAGCTGCAGGCCGAGATGGGCAGCTTCATCATCGAGCAAATCTTCTCCACCAACGAGGGTGGGGATTAATTTCTCTTGTTCACATTTCTCTCTCTTTAACGCTTTTAAACTCACGTTGAAAAGTGTTAATGCATTAGCTCTGTCCATCAGTCTGATGGGCAGACAATAGAGTTACCACCTCTGAGGTACTAAAACTGGAACACATTGTAAGGAGAATATTTCACAATATCGAAAGAGGGGAGAACTGCTTTAAATGCATTTTCTGGAGTGGTGTATTTTTACACAAATAACAAAAACCGCGACATATATTTCCCAGGACACATACCTTAAAAAGAGAAGTGATCCTCGGAAAACCAGGACGGGTGGCAACTTTAGAGCAGTACTTGTTTTCACTACTTCTGACATCTTCGGCAATTATACTCCTGGAGATGCTCGCAGTTGTATGTGGTGAAAGCTAGAGAGAATAACTGTCCAACAATACGGCCTGACCAAAGTCCTCGCTTGAAAATCAACGTGTGGCCGTTACTGTTGTCGCCGCCACTGCCGGTTTGTGTCTGTACGTTCTTGCTCGTGTGTGACTACTTGAACCTTGTGTCCTCTCAGACATTTTTGATCAGCAAGAGGACATGCAGAATATTGAGGTGCTTCACAAGCGGAGGTGCCTCCTCGCCGCTTACTGCAAGCTGCTGGTGTATGGAGCCATAGACATGCGCGCCGGCGTTGACATCTTCCGCCGATACGTGGAGGTGAGCAGAGGACGCAGCTCAACGAGGCTCATTGAGGCTCACAGCTCACTACATCTCATACCTCACCCACGCCTCTGGTCCACCACTGCTCACCACAACTTACCTCACCCATGTCTGAGGTCTCGACTGCTCACCGCAGCTCACCATGTCTCACACCTCACCACTGCTCACTCTGTCTCAGCTTACCATGGCTTACTACAGCTCGGCTCACCACATTTTGGTCATAGGGTAGAATATAACATCATACTGCAGTAGAACCTCCAATGTGTTCACTTACCGACCATTCTGTTAACGAAGGGCTTATAACGAGTACGCAACCGCCAGTTTCGGCCAATCGGCGAGCTCCAAAGTGGTCTGAGCAGGCTTCGGCCAATTAGCGACGTCCATTCATGAGCGTTGTGGCATTGTTTACCTTCAGTGTTTGCCAGTAATCTTTTTAGCCCAAGGTAAGATTTTTGTTGTAGGTACAGTAATATGAATTAATGCATTTATTAACCATGTTTCTTTAAATATTATTTGTTTATAATGTTTATGCATTAATATCCATTGTTTAAATATTATAAAGTACATTTTTGTGTGAAAAAGGGGTAACTTTCGATGCTATCTGAACGAATGAAGCCTTTAACATGTATTTTCTACTCGCTTCACAACCAAATCACTTAACGACTGGTTTCATGGAACCAGTTCGAGCCATTAAGAGGGGTACTACTGTATAAGTATTATATGAAGGAGGTAAGTTTTGTTGGCAGACTGGCTGGCGGGTGCACTTGTCGGCAAGTGCATGGTGGTGACGTCACGGCGCACATCTGCGGCGTGATAACATCACCTGCATCCCACAGCGTTGAGCCGGTTTCATGCGTTGTGCTGATGTCACGCCTCCCTCTACCCCCGGCCGTGTCTTCTGCGCAAATGCTCGGCCAATGCCAGTGCAGGAATTTAAAACATTCACTTGTGTTTTGCCTCCTTGCATTCGTTGCATCAAACATTATTCGATGATCTCCTTATACCCTGATCCTCCTTATCCTGCTCTCAGTTCTACATCAACTATGGGGACATCATCAAGGAGACGCTGAGTCGCTTGAGGCAGATCGACCTGATGGAGTATGCCCAAACGCTCGCCCTCACGCTCAAGCAGGTGATGCCTCCACCCCCGCACTAATGGGTGTCTCCTCGTTTGGTTCGTAATGGCCATTATGAGACAGTACTGACACTGGATGACCCCATAAGCCAACCCTTGACCTCGTGACTGTGGGCAGATGTTCACGGTGATGCTGGAGGAGACGTCAAACCTGGTTCCTGTCAAGGAGCTGGCGCGTCGTTTCTCGCTGACGTTTGGGATGGACGCTGTTCGCTCGCGGCACGCGATAGCTGCCCTGCACAAGTACGTGCATGTGTGTGTATGTTTGGGGAGTGACTCGTGGGGAGCGATAGTGTAGCGGATAGCGCGCTGCGCTATGATCCCGGCAACTCCGGGTTCAATTCCCGCTCACGGTCAACACCAGGGACGATTATTTTAACCGGTCCCGGGCCTCAAATGAGTACCCGGTTTGGTGGGTAAACGGATAAAGGCGGTCGGGCGTGGTGCTTGCCACCTACCCCCCTCGTGTGCCAGTCTTCATAGGTGCTCGCGAACAGCACTTGCCCCAACAGTCTATTAAGGCAATATGGCGAGTCTTTGTAGTGACTAGTGGCTAGCGCACTGAGTTATGAACCCGGCGAGCTGATGCAAATTCCCGCTCATGACCAATAACAGTGACGAATATTTGACTGGTCCTGGGCATCCTCTTCGTCTTGACTCGGCCACAAATGAGTACAAAGTGTGGTGTCTTAATATCATTACTAGGGAGATGAAGGCAGCCAGACGTGGCTTTGGCTTCTCACTCTACTCAATGCATGTGCCCTGCCGGCCTTTATAGGTGCTTGCTAAGCAGCACTTGCCCCTACAGTCTGTTAAGGCTATATGGGATGTCTTTGTGCATGCAAGTGCCTGTTTGTGTGTAAGTGTGAATACTTGTGTATGTGTGCCTGTCAGTGTTATGCATTTGTATGTGTGTGTGAATGTGGTGTCTTTGTCATTAGGAACGGCATCGACTTTGCATTTGAAGCGAAGAAGCCGGGCACTGCCCCGCCGAACATCCTCTTCCTGGAGGTGCTGTGCGAATTCTCTCCAAAACTCCTCTCTCAGGACAAGAAAACACTGTACGTACCCTCTCCACCATCTCTATTCTTTCATCATCGCCATCGTCACTCATCTTTACCATCTTCACCGTTCATTGCCATCATCGCCAATGACGCCATCATAGTCTTCATCATCTTCACTTGTTCATTATCATCATCACCATCTCCGGCATCATCGCCGTTCATTATTATCGCCAATAAACTTGGATTTGGGGTGGGGGGTATTGTTTGGATGTATTAATTATAATTGAAATTCATAATTCTGGTTCTCGAGTTTGGCAGTAATAAATAAATGATGATGCCATCATGTAAACGGTGTCACTAATGCGCTAACCACTGCGACACTGCTGCACCAGACCAACGTTATCCAGCAACGTTTTTATAACTCATTTGGACTCATTTCTGCCTCCTGGGTCGCTTCATCTGTGTCACGCCTGGTGACGATTGTTTCTGCGTGTCTCTTTTGCCTTGTGTCTCACTTGAGTCATGGTTCTCTTCTAGCCAGAGGGGGGAGTTTGGGCCGGGGTGACAGCGGCATAGTGATTAGCGCACTATGCTGTGAACACAGCGTCCTGAATTAGATTCCCGGAACCATTCCAGGGACTCCCCACCCGTCACTGACCTGCTCTGACCAGTGTGGTGAAGTATGGTAAAAAAACCCCCATGACTGACATGGTGTGGGGTATATATTAATCCAGAAGTGAATTTACAAAGAACCGTAAGTCAGTTTAACACGTAGTCTTTGTGCTCGAGTGCCTCGGACTAATACGCTACGAACTCAACTTCCCAAGTTCAATTTCCAGCTACAGCTAACATCTGTGGCGATTGATATCCGAGCCGACCCTGAGCTTCCCCTCGGTCGCCATGGCCTTAAATGAGTAACTGGTGCGCTGTGTAAACATCAGCATTTGGGAGACAAAGACGGTTGGTCAGGACATGGTGCTAATTTCACCACCTTGTGTGGCGTTCCGGTCTTCATATATATGCGCTCGCTAACAGCACTTGCCCCAACAGTCTGTGTAGGCTACATTCAAGGTCCTCCTCTGTCTTTGTCTCAGCTGCGGGTACATGGAGAGCTACAAGCCGCCCACGCGTAGGAACGTGTTGGACTCGGAGTGGCAGCCTGTGTTCACCTACCGCAACTCCCTGATCGCCTCCGCTCAGCCAGATGGTGCCGTTGGCACCCCGGCGACTGATGCCAGCGCCGGACGCAGGATTCGCACACGACACGGCAGTGCCAACAGTGAGACTCTCGCACCAACATGAATACATACACGTATACACACGCAACATGGTCTACACACAGCACAGAGACGGCTATCACCATTTACACAGGAGACATGCACTGCACACATAGATAGATGCACACACACCACAGAGACTGACAACACACGCGCAAGATGCATATCTACCTGGACAACACACACACATCATGGAGATGTACACAACAAGAACTGCCGTTCACTAAGTGGCAGTAATGTCACCGCGGCCCTGGCGGTACTGGTCCAGCTCCTGGCACACGAGTGGCAGCCTCTCCGCAGGTGAGCATTCGAACATTCGACATGGCCACTTTCAGTAGTTTCCTGTTTGTGAAGCAACCCCAAGGGGGGGTGCTTCCATATCTTGGCTCCGCCAAATGTCGTTTGGCCAGGAGACGTCATGGGCACCCGTCCTCCCAGGGCCTCTGGCACAAGCTTAGTTTGTTCTTTGGCATGTGTGTTTTTGGTAATTTAGTTGAAGGTTAGAGGGGGTCACCAGACCCATGTGCACATCCAGAGTTCCCGTTGGCCGTTGTTGCGGCTACGTGCACCATGAGGGTAACAGCTGATGATTGTCAATCTTTCCCCCCCCCCGCCAATGGTATTGCTCACAAGCACACGAGTTGCCGAATTGCAACCACTGAGGAGGCGGGGGTTATTTTTCCTGTCTCGGACACACACATACACAGACAGACACAGATGTGCACATTATCTCCAAGCACTGATTGTTACTCACCTGCCCATCGGTCTTCCTCCTTTCTCCCCACCACCTCCCACCGACTCAGTCTCCATGTCTACGGAGGCCTCAGGCCTCGAGTGGGGTGCCCGCACCCCCATCGCGACCCCGGCGACACCGCAGCTCACCTCCACGGTGCTGAGGGGGGGAGAGGGGGTCGCCATGGCGACCGCGCGGCGTGGCAATGTGAGCAGCAGAGGCTCCTTGTCGGCCGGATCCATGGGAAATGTCTACACTCGCTCAAGGTGAGCGGAGGAGGGAGGTGGTAGGGGGCGTAATCCTGGTGTGTGCGAGGTGTATCTGTTTGTGTGTGTGTTGTGCCTGCCTTCTTATACGTATGTATTTTGAACTTCTTTCGTAGCCAACTGTGCTCATCGGAGATGCAGGAGGACAACAAATTAAATACAATAAGCAGTTTTATAGGAATGAGTTTTCAATCTAGATTTTAAATTGTATAGCTCCAGTGGATTCCTAATATCGGAAAGAAGCGCATTCCAGACGGCGGCAGAAGGGCACCCGAAAGTACGAGATGTAGTGACTCTTTGTTCAATAGCTAGCCGAAAGCTGCTGCGAGGATGACCAGAGTTTGCATGATGGTTTATGCTCTTTCACATCTCCCTGCCCGCCGGACCTTTCTTCATTATTGACGACTTGCAGCTCAGCACACGGCAGATGCCTGCGCAGCGCGACTCACGACCTCCTCTTGATACCAAGATCCAGGATGGTCATGTCTATGCTCCGCTTCTCGGTGGCAGCCCCAACAGTCTGGAATGCTCTCCCTCTGCACATTTGCAGCATCACCTCAATCGCCTCCTTCAAGAGACACTTAAAAACTCACCTCTATAACCATGCTTTCGAGCGACTCTGAGCTTGGCTCCGCGCGTCTGAGTTGTGGCCGTTACGTCCGCAAATTTGCGCGCATTATAAATTGCATTATTATTATGATTCTTAGGTGCACGCGAACAGCACTTGTCCCGTATTAAGGCTATACGGTAAGGTGGATCTTTGTCTTTGGTCTATGTGAGGTGTCTGGTAATTTGTGTGTGGTGTTGTCTGTGTCTGCGTGCGCTGTTTTTGTGTGTCTACATTTATGTATTTTGTGTGTACGTATTGTTCAGTATATTTGCGTGTGTGGTTTTGTATGTTATGTGTGGTATGTTTGCCATGTATACGTATTTGTGTAATTCTGTATTGTGTTCTACGTGTAGATGTATGTGCTCGCGTGTGGGTGCGCTCCGAACACGGCGACCCAGTTCTATTTTTGCTCATGGCCAATACCAGTGATGATTATCTGAACCAGTCCTGGGCCTCCCTGCGGTCAACTCGGACTCAAATGAGTACCTGGTGTGATGTGAGAGCATCGTAACTGAGGAAGAAAAGGCAGCCGGGCATGGTGCTGGCCACCTCCATCCCCATGTGTGCTGTGCTGACTTTCATAGGTGCTCGCTTAACAGCACTATTCCCAACAGTTTCTTAAAGTATATACGGTGGATGTTTGTAATTTGTGTGCATACGCAGGGGCCACAGTTTGATATCTGCGGTAACTAAGGAGGTTTCCGATGAGGATGACGAGGACAACACGAAAGCTGATAAACTCAGCAGCGGGTTTACATCACGCGGAAGTCAACTTCTGAACGGCCCAGAGGACGCTATGGACACAGACGTGGTATGAACAGTTTGTTGACGGTGATATTTACCCCTTCTCCACTGCCACATCCAAGCCAAGCCAGCTAAACTAAAATAAACTTTTTTTATTTACCAGGTAAGGCCCACTAGCTATATAGCTCTTTTTCAGAAGCCTCCTGGCAACAAATGATAGCTGAACGATGTGGCTTACGGGAACATTTATAGCAGCCAAATACTGTAAAATACAATTTTAAATATCGAATAAAAATCAACGTGACCACGAGAACGTACAAACTCCAAATATACAAGCGTCAGGGTTGGGATCAAACCCACGACCTCCTTTGGTCCAGGCAAGGTAGTTAACTTCTTGCCACCTCACAGTAAGGGTGGTTTTCCATTGGCTATTTTTCATGCTGAGCCAGAACCAAATCGTGATCTGCTGGCCTCACATAACCTTAAGCTGGCTCTGGGCAAAGTGGGGCTCGGTGTGGTCTGATTACGCATTCATTGTATGATGTGTAAAGTCAGTCGGTACGCTCTGAGGACACAGCATTTCTATGTTGTGTACACGCATCTCAACTCGTACCATTGCCAGTGATGTGCACGTCTCGGCTCGACCTCTGCAATCTAAAATTAACCTGCTGCCTACTGAGCAGCGCCGGGCTGGCTTTGTTTTACAATGGGGAAAAAAATAATTGCAACAAATGGTTTGTTTCCATGGGACAGCAGGAGTTGACCTCCAGTTGAAAGATGACTAAAGTTGGCTAAAAATGTGACGTTCCCATGATTTGCTGAGTCACTTGAGTTGCAATGCGAGTTGGGTCCCAATTTTCCATAAATATTTCTGACTAACGCTTTCCCAGAAATAAATATGATTCGTAGGTCACTTTTCTGACGAGATTAAATGTTACATTTAAAGCATCTTAAATGTGGTTTGTAGACGATGGTCGACTGACAGACCTGTCTCTGACTGGATTTGTAGATGACAAAATCATAGTTACTTAATATAAATTTTCAATAACTTAACGGTGAGAAAGCATCAACTTAACAGGCCTCCCTATGCACATGCCCCTCTATCCTTGTCGGATCTCCCCATTTACCTGCTCGTTCATCTCTGTTTCCCACCCCTCCCCCATCAGGATTTCAGCACCCCCTTCTTCTGATATGTCACTGGGTCCTGCTTTCGCATGAAGGCCTATGAAGACCGTACTGTGAAAACCTACGCACCCTCGTCCACATGGAGCAACTGATCATTTAGAATATTGGTTCGGCACTTTGTTTTCATTCTGCCTCTTAACACCATGTTCACATGAGCACTTGGGGGGAGAGGCTACGAATATGAGGATGGGTAGATGAGAGCGGTGTCATGACATCTCACTGTGGCACCCTAGCCCTTTTGTTTAACAAGCATCACTCATAATGGCCACCATGGCCACACTCTAGTCACCAGCAGTCTGCCTGCTATGGACCGTTGCGACCGTGCAGGTATTTCATACACATTTATAATGGCCGTGTTGGTGTCACTGAAGCAACACCGCTGAAATTCTGGGTTGAAGCCCTAGGTCTGGACGTTTCTTTCCTGGGGTTTGCTTCAGAAACGTTTCAGTCCTAAGCAGCCTGCACCTGCTAAGTGTGTAACTCGTCACTGCCGTAGCTATTCCATCCAAGAATAGATTGTTTTTTTTGTCTTATTTTGACTATCTCGTTTGTATATTTTATCTTTATATTTTAAGTCTAACTTGTACAGTTTTGTTTGCCCTCCATTTGCCTTAATGTAGCGTTGTCGTATTGGTCGCTTATAATTGCTAGAGTAAATTGTGAACAATTGCGTTCTGTGGTATGACGTTAGCATGTCATGTACTCGCAAATCAGACCTCTCATTATTGTTCATTGTGCAGTGGAAAATATAAAAGAATAACAATATCAGTTTACACCACAGAGTGCTTTGTTGCAGTCGTCTTTAGAGTTGACTCGCATTATACATCCTCCAAAGAAGTGCTTTTGTTCCTCAAATGTTTTAACAGTCGGGGAAGTGGTGGCATAGAACTTAGGTGTAGTGTGCTACAAACTCGAGCCAGCCGAGTTAAATTCCTGGCCACAGGTGTTATCAGTATCGAGTGATATTTAAATCGTTCCTGGGCCAACCCAACTTCACCAGGCTGCACTAACGGGTGTGGTGAAGTATGGTCGAATGCCTCTTCGACGCAGTGGGAAGACCTTAAGCTTTAAATTTATAAAGGGCTGTAAATAATTATTGGAGTTTGAAGATTTAGAAACAATTGTTATGGTTCTATTGTTATGGTTCTATTGCTCCTGACTTATTCTGGCTGCAGTGAGACAGGGCCATGGTTATGCCCTTTGTTTACATGTCTTTCAAATACTTTTGTTGTAATATAAATAACTGTCCACTTAATATTTTTTACAATTTGTAGATAATTTACATTTATATAGCATCACTCAACACGTATATTTCAAGAGCTATATATTGTTACATTTATATGACCTTTCTGCTCACATCATCGATGCTAGTTATGAAACTGATTATCCCTCAGCTGAAATTTTCAGTGACATTTCTTGTTTCTTAGGCAACTGAAATTTTTAATTATAATTGCTGTGGGAAGCTTAGGGGCTTCATTATTATACCAGGAGAGCCTCACTCAGTTTAAAACTTTTTTTAGGACAGTCATGCTATTTCGGCATAGTTGATGATCTGCAGAAGTTTTGCAGTCGCAGGATCTTTTAAATGTCAACTTAAGGAGCCGGCACATATTTCATGTTCATACTCCCTCGGTATTAACTGGGGAGGGCCGTGGGACTCGAACCGCAAACCACTGGGCCATCTCACCGCCGTAAAATGGCTTCGTCATACAAATGTTAACGTTGGTTGATCCCTTATGCAAGGCCGTTTGGTTAAACAATTATTTAACACTCACCCTGCCGGGCTACCTTTGCAGGCTAGTGTTTTAGACTGGGAAGACTGCTTGTAATGTTATTTTACCTAAAGCGCATTTGTCGTGTAAGGAAGCCAAGAATGAGGCGCTTATGTAAATGCTGAAGGTTCACACAAAAATAGCTGGAAGAGGACGGGTAGATGAGATCGGTTGTCTTTATTTAATGTTACTCAACAGCAGCGTTCATGGCTGGTCGTAACTAACACTAACAGGGAATCCATAGGACCAGGAAACCCAGCAACTTTTGTTTCAATTGGCTAGATTCTACTAATGAGTATCATAAAAGTCAAAACCGGTCCAGGTATTGTCTTAAACAATGCAGGTAAATATTGGATCGTGATTGCCTGTTGAGAGAGTTGTGTGATTTAAGTTGTATTTTTGTTGATTGCAAAGCATTTTTGTTGGTTATTTAAACAGACCCATGCTCGGGGCTTAATTTTATCTGGGTCCAGGTCAGCAACTCTGAAAGAAGTTCTATACGCAGCACACCACGTCTAGTATACCTCTGGCTGTGGTTACTACTCAAGTGATGCCTATTCCAGTCTCAATGAGCGACCTGTAACATAGTGGAAAATGTAGACCTACCTATGCACATTTGTACATATGCAATGGCCTGTACTGCAAAACCCATGCTACAGGGTCGTATGGAATCCAATAGCAATGGATTCCAAAGTTAAACACTTCCGGTAAAATCTAACAATTCATTGTGTACCCCCAACTTTCACAGAAGCCTGGTTTGTGTTTGCCCCTTTTGAGCACACCGCCCTTTTCGATGTTCCGTGTGGAATTTATAAATCTGCAGGCTAGATGCGTTGTCATGTTGTGTCGGGAGCTTCAGGAACTGAATTGAGAAATTTCAGCTTCCAGCATGTGGATGAAAATGTCGGACATGGCAAGCAACATGCTGAAAAAAAACACCTGAAAACATAAAGACCCGTACAGCACAATTGACAACCTACGAGTAATTTACAGGCTGGTACCAAAGAATGTGGCTGTTTATTAACAGAGGGTTTATGGAGATGTTTGTTTGGGAGTTTGTGCTTCAGGCATGTGTAGCTTTGAAAAGTGAATGCAATCCTTTCCCCCAATGTTATCCTGATTGTGCCGTCGCATCATCAAGAGACGTAAGGATCCTTTGGGAACTCTCCCAGCTCACTGCAGTCCTTCATGTTTGAGAACGGCCCCATGGAAGCAGATATCACAGCTATCACTGAGATCCCTTCAAGTGACCTCTGGTCAACACTGTAGAGGGTAGTACATTCACATGCATCTGGCTAACACGAATAATATTCGTTGCATGACAGACCAATATTAAAAGTTCTCGAACCTGGAGTTCCAAATTAAGTGCAGAACCAAATTTTCATTGATGGGTTTTTTGTGTGTGCAGTAATTACTGACCAAGCTCGAGAGCATCATCAACTCGCTACACTTTGGAACTAAATCATATCACAGGCAGCTGTCGGGATTGAATCCAGGATCTCTCAACGGTGCCAGCTCAGCGCTCTGGCATCTGGACCACCTGGCCAGCTCAGCTGATCTTAATTGTGCAACAAAATGTTTTTCAAATAAGGTACTGTATTTTTAGATTCTGCACTGTATTCATTAAATTCCACCTTTTGACATTGGAATCGATGTTTTGTTAGCCATTGTCCCAAAGAGAAGGGCTGCATCAGTCTTAAGAATTCGCAATTGATAATTATTTGTCCCCATTACATGACGTAGCAGAATCAGGATAATTCGAGGAAAACGCAAAAAAACAGTTGCCAACTTGGCCCATCATTGGCAAGGACTGGAAGAGATGGCATCAAGTGTAGAATGGCAACAATAGGTCAGGGGTGGTGGAGTGGCAGCTCAACTAATGGGCTGAAGAGACCAAGTGGGATCTGTTGGAATATATGATGTAAAGTTTGGCAACAGCCTTTGTTGCATCACGCGGTCGCGTACATTGCATAAAATTGTTGGAGTTTTCCCAGTGTGTATACTCTGGAGGGTTGGTTTTGCTGCAGTATCGTGTCGGCTTTTCGAAAGTTGCATCGAGTTTGTTGAATGTTCAAGAGCTAATACTTTTCAATAAAAAAAAACATTTTCAAGTGTTTAGTTTGTTTTGGAACATTTTGTTTTGTCAAAGCATGGAAAATGTTGGGAAGCCATCAAACGACTGAGGTGCCGCATATGTTTGTTGTCGGCCCTCATCCAATGGTCGAAATTCCACATTTTCATGATGGGGACAGTCCTCGCATCGCACACCTATGTTGACTTCCCAGTGATACTCGTCTTATTCCAGAGGTATGATGGGCGAGGCCAGTGTTCTTCACTGATTTTAAGAGGGGTGGCACTTTTTGCCGACAAGACATCATTGTGAGGGCCGTCACACCGCCTGCAAGGGGTGTTTTCATATTTGTGTATTGTCGGGGTTACACTAAAGGCCACCAGTGGCCCGCGTGCCTTGAAATTAAGACCGTTTATGGAGGTTTTCATTAGCTAATTTCCGATTGAAAATCAAGTGCTCCAAGTGTAAATAAAACATACAGCCATTTGTCAATCCACTGTTGGATAAAGGCCTCGCCATGCTTTGTTCATCGTGGAGGTTGTACCATAATACTTCATGCTGATCAGTGCGGGTTGAAAGGGCAGCTCAGGACATGTTCAGATATCACTTGTCACTGCTGTTAGCCGTGGTTTGAAGTTGAACTCGGGTATTCTGGGTGCAAATGCAGTATTCTCACGGCTGTGCCACCGCTCCACACATTTAAATGCGTTAAAAGCGCACACACCCCTCTGAATATGTTCAGGCACGGACTTTATTTCAGCTGGTAAGGCCCATTGAGCTAAACAGTGCTTCCAAATGGACGACCGCAGCCCAAGACCGTCGGCAGTGCAAAACTATCAAGTTTCTCAAGAAGTGTGTAATGTGTTCATCTTGTCTTAGATCACCATCAAAATAAATATGGGCAAATGTGACTGACGGTAGCAGCGAGATATACGTCAGCGGGCTGCAATGCACTTCTTCAGGAACTTATGATCTTTTGCATAATGTTCAGAGGCTGAGTGCATTCTACGCGTGTGGCTGTTTTGAAACTTAGGGGTTTCCAGCCAGCACTATGATGGGGTTTCTTTTAACTTACAGATTTGATGCATGATAATGTAGTCTCAAGACTCAATTGCAACGGAATCTTGCCTGGCATGTTTGCCTAATTATTTAATACTTCACGCTATATTTTAGGACCGTAACCATTGATTAAAATAACCACAAATGACACGAATAAGTAGTTTACGACCACTCCAATCATTTAATAGTCCATGTTGCTTCTCTCCACTCCACGTTCCTTTGACGCGAACGGTCTCGTGGACAGCCACTGTAAGAATCAATATATGTATTTATTCTGGAGGAATCCGATGAGCTATAAAGCTTATTTTTCCCGCAGACGTCGAGTAAGGAAGGGCAAGATCAGAACGTTACAACGACAAATACAAAAACAACGAGAGGAGCGCAAGGTATAGGAAAGGTAAACAAACCACTGTGACATCTCACCAAATTGTTTCCTAGTTTTATCGACCATTAAATAGATAAATGTGAAACCAATACCATACTTAAAAGGAATATTTTTTTTTTAAAACAAAAATCGAATTGACCAATCATCACAATGAATCAACACGCGATATTTGTATGCAAATTCTACGCCGATTGTTTAATTGGAGGCCGGCTCTGACAGCCCGGAGCACCACGGCCCCCACGCGTCCACCACCCCCCCCTCCCCCCCCGGTGTTTCGCTTCCGGGGTCACGACCCTCTCTCGCGCGGAGGGATACTCCCCTCACGCTGTTCGGCTATTGTGTCCCACACCAAGCAACTAAATAAATTAATAACGCAACCCCCCCCCCTCCACTCAAAACGCCCCCCCCCCGCCCGTCGGCGAGATCTCGCGAACCACATCGCAACGTATGCGGCACAGACGCAGAATCGGACGGGCCCGCCTTGAACGCCTCAGCGTAGTCGTCGTCCTCGTCCTGCGCCGCGCGCGATTGAGCCCCTTGGCCGAGCGAGCCGAGCGCGCCGCCCTCTTTGTCTGCAGCGGAGGGACACCGGCGGAGTCGTGCGCGCGACGCGGCCCAGCTGAGGCGCAGTGAAGCCGTGACGTAGGGCGCCCACCATTGAGTTCCTCGCGTCCCTAGCGCTGCCGCTCTTCGCCTCTCCTCCTTCTTCTCCTCCTTCTCCTTCCTCCCTCCTCCTCCGTGTCTCTGCGGGCCGCGACACGACTCTAGGTAAACGCCACGAGCTAAAAGGGTGACCGTGGAGGAGGCGCGATGCGGTGGAAGGCGACGTCTCGGGGTGGTTTTTTTTTTGTCGCCCGAGTTGAGACGCGAAGGCGGCCCCGGGGAGTGGTGGTGGGGGTGGTGGTGGTGGTGGAGGGGGGAGGCTAGGCGAGCCGAGGGCTGGGGGCCAGCGAGCAGGCCGCGGCGGTGGACACCCGCCTGAGAATTTTGTGAAGGTTTTCCGTAATCGTTCAAATCCGCGGCGGATGCCGTGTTAAGTGGCCTGCGGGGGGTTTGTTTCGTGTAGTCCGGGATGCGGTTCGAGAAGTGGTGGGGGGGGGGGGGAGACGCCGCGGTTCGGATTCGTTTTGACGGTGCGCCGCTAGCTCTGGCTGAGTGAGGGGTTGCACACGGTCGGTGCACTGCGGCCTTGGCGTGTGTTGTCGGCCGCTTTAACACGACGGCAGGTCGTCGTGTTAAAGTCGCCCAGCGTCTCGTCACGGGGCGATTCGTGGTGATCTCGGGTCTGCGTGCTCGCTTGCGCCTTCCTTACACGCCGCGCAGATTCCAGCAGCCAGGTGGAATGAGACGAGTCTGATTAAGGGTCATCACCTGAAACGGCAGTGTATCGGTTTTGTGTGTGTACACAATAAGTGTACGGTACGTATGTACGTGTGTGTATACACACATGCGTACGTACATACAAATACGGATCTGAGTCTACATGAGCTTTATAATAAGGTAAGAGACGAATGAGACAAAGGTATTTAGCAATAACCTATGTTTACAATAGGTGGTATACATATGTATATGTCCATGTGTGTACATAATACATAAACTTCAGTACATGAGTGTACTAACGACACGAGCCCCAGTGACGTGAAGGTTTTTCGTAAATGTCACATTTACATATGGGACTATACAGTGGCCGTGTACATTATATGTATAAACAATCTCGAGCCTTTACGCGTGATCTTTTATAACCACGTAAAAGGCCATTAGGAGACGAAGGTATTTCGTGAAAGGGTAGCCTACAGTATATGACACACAGATGTACATACTAGCATACTTGAATGTATGGCCAAGCATTCATTCTATAACAAGACAAAGGAGTTGAATCTAGAAGGCGTACAAATGTCTACATTAGCACGTACACTGCATACATCTGCATCATTGCCATGGGCCGTGGTCAATCCACTGCTGGATGAAGGCCTCCCCCAAGCCGTAACCCCACACCTCTCCTGTCTCACGATCCTGCGATGCAACAATCCACGTCGTACCTGATTCATCGCTCCATCTCCCCAGTGGATATCTATCGAAGTATATATACACACACACCTGTGTTTACATGCATCATCTTCCACTGGGACGAATGTAATCAATAATAAAATAGACATAATTTAAAATCGGCTCATATATACACACGTTTATATACGTATAATGTAAACGTATAACAGATGTGTATGCCAGATACAATACAAAAAAGTTCCCCGGCCAGACGTTTAGACTGTTCAGGCAAGCGCCATGGCGTATCAGCCGGTGTGGGTGGCATTCGCCCAGTACTGCCGTTTACACAACAACGAACTTCACTTTAGGCCAAGTCGACCTAGGGGGGGGACAGCTGAATGAGTACTGTAGCACAATATGTGCATACAGCGCTTGCAATAATTGTGCGCGCGCAGCAGATGCACGTTGTACACGTATTGTTTATTCACACCTGCGTATACAAATTATCGTGTGTGTACTTCGTACGTTAAATCTTCGAACCAGTGAGAGCTCACCAAGAACAAAACAATCTCATCGGTGAACACATATATACATGTACAGTTTACACATACAGTATATGTGTACACGTGCATGAAGTAAAGTCGACACTTGAACTCTATTGATTAACAATGTGTACGTGTGCGAGACATGTGTACATACACAGATATGTATACACTTGATCGTGTGTGTTCACACGCGAATTATTTAACCAGGTAAAGAGCGCGCTGATACGAAGGTGCCTGGAATAACGCACGCATATTTGTGTTGAGTGTACGTACCCCCTATGTATGTTCAACTTCTTTCGTACCGTACGTATCTAACCGTGCTCATCCGTGGGGCAGTATACGTACAACTGCAAATGCTCCAGTAGGTGTACGCACACAAACTCTGTAAATTGACACATTCATTGCAACGTGGCGCGTCTAAATAATGTGCTTCTATATACTGTACGAAATTCTAGATTTGAAGTATTTCGTGACTGCAATGATCCATACTCCTTGGTTCTGTCGGTATAGTCACGTAGGTAAAAAAAATATAAAGTGAATAAAATCACGACGTTTCGGAGGCAACACAGGTGTAACTAGCACGGTAAAAAAATGTTATTGTACGTACTTTGTAATTTATACGGGAGCTGTCCACGGCTGAGCTCCGAAAAATATCCCCGCCTCGTTGTTTGGAAACGGCGGGGCAGGTGGGGGGCTGACAATTATTCCAAAGGAGAACTGGAGCTCCTTGATAGTAAGTACCGTGTGTGTCTATTCGTGAGCACATTGTATACCTAGCTGAGAGCACATTGCTGCGAAGTTATTATGCTGTACAGCGTTGTGTACACGCGTGTTGTGTAAGTAGACCTACCGTGTGCATTGTACATGCGCTGCCATTTCAGTCCACTGCTGGATGAAGGCATCATCTTCCCCGTCCTGTACAGAGATCGTGGCGCCGTGGGTGTTATTTATCCGTGCCCTCGCCACGCCGGTCAGTGCGGGCTGGTGAAGGCAGCCACACCGTGTGTGTACGTTGGAGCAGAGCACAACACAACAATGTCTCAAACCCCCCTGGCGACCTCGGTTCGATCTGGGCCACACACACACCATTGCACCGGCCTTATCACCAGTACAGTGCTGGGGAGACAGGCGAATGGACGGTGATTCTTTACCGCACCATCTCCTCGTGCTAAGTTCTGATCTTAATAGGCGCTCGCAAACAGCGTTTGCCTCAACAGCCTGGAAGGCCATACGCGGGGCGTCTTTTACTATATAAAGGTCAAATACCAAATGCTGTGTTGGTACGCATGTGTCAGCGCATGTGCGTGTGTATGGGTGTACAGTATTCCCGTGTACCTGTCTGTGTTGTGGGGAGCGGTGGCGCGGTGGTTAGCACACTGCGCTACAAACCAGTGATACCCGGGTTCGATACCCACGCACGACCAATTACAGTGGCACATGTTTGAACCGGTCCCGGCCCTAAAATGAGTGGCTATGTAAACATCAGCGCTGGAGAGACAAAGGCGGACGGGCGTGGTCCTTGCCACCCCCCCCCCACCCCCTCGAGTGCTCGCTAACAGCACTCGCCCCAACATTCGGGGGCGGGGGGGGGGTGTCTTTGTATTCCTATGTGCACAAGTACTGCTTTTTATATTATCGCTATATATGTACAGTATTTGTGGATCTATTGTGGATCCGGCCAGGTGGCTCGGTAGTTAAGTGCGAGTTCAAATCCTCTATTGGGGCGAGTTGACTCTGCCCATCATCCTTCCCGGGTCGATCAAATCGGTACCACTTTATTGGCAAGTCAACTGTGGCCGTCCAATGGCGAGCTCTTTCCCCCTCCATATGGAATGTGGAATTTCCACAACCGCCTGACGGGCTGTGAACAGGCGATTGGCACCAGTGGGCCAATGCTAGTTTCACGTCCCATTGATCTAGTTGTTGTTACCTCTTCGCCTTTGTTGTATATTCGCCAATCTCGCACTTACTGGCGTGGTGTAGTATGGTCAGATATCATCCACGACCCCGCACGGCATTGGGAGGCTCTCATCCAGCAGTGGATTGACACGTGCTTTTCTTGTACGCGTGTGGCCCAGTGGTATGCGTGTCTTCTTACAGGTCCACGTCTGCTGGGTTCGTACTGTAGAGCAATGTGCAGCTTGTGTTCATGTGTGTAGGTGGGTGGTGATGTATGTTTCTCTATATGTGGAGTTGTATGTTCTTGAAGGAACATTTACGTGTGTGTGGATATGTAGGTATGTCATATTTGTAAGTAATCACTATATATAGGACGGTATAATATGTATTATTTTTAAATATCCATGTTCTGTACAGTGAGGGAAAAAAGTATTTGATCCCCTGCTGATTTTGTACGTTTGCCCACTGACAAAGAAATGATCAGTCTATAATTTTAATGGTAGGTTTATTTGAACAGTGAGAGACAGAATAACAACAAAAAAATCCAGAAAAACGCATGTCAAAAATGTTATAAATTGATTTGCATTTTAATGAGGGAAATAAGTATTTGACCCCTCTGCAAACATGACTTAGTACTTGGTGGAAAAACCCTTGTTGGCAATCACAGAGGTCAGACATTTCTTGTAGTTGGCCACCAGGTTTGCACACATCTCAGGACGGATTTTGTCCCACTCTTTTCAGATCTTCTCCAAGTCATTAAGGTTTCGAGGCTGACGTTTGGTAACTCGAACCTTCAGCTCTCTCAGATTTTCTATGGGATTAAGGTCTGGAGACTGGCTAGGCCACTCCAGGACCTTAATGTGCTTCTTCTTGAGCCACTCCTTTGTTGCCTTGGCCTTGTGTTTTGGGTCATTGTCATGCTGGAATACCCATCCTTTTTCAATGCCCTGGCTAAGAGAAGGAGGTTCTCACCCAAGATTTGACGGTATATTGCCCCGTCCATCATCGTCCCTTTGATGCGGTGAAGTTGTCCTGTCCCCTTAGCAGAAAAACACCCCCAAAGCATGTTTCCACCTCCATGTTTGACGGTGGGGATGGTGTTCTTGGGGTCATAGTCAGCATTCCTCCTCTTAAACACGGCGAGTTGAGTTGATGCCAAAGAGGTCCATTTTGGTCTCATCTGACCACAACACTTTCACCCAGTTGTCCTCTGAATCATTCAGATGTTCATTGGCAAACTTCAGACGGGCATGTATATGTGCTTTCTTGAGCAGGGGGACATTGCGGGCGCTGCAGGATTTTAGTCCTTCACGGCGTAGTGTGTTACCAATTGTTTTC